AACGGCCAGCAGCGGGTCAGCTTGTTCGGGTTCTGAGAAAGGAGTCTCTACTGCTTTCTTGGCTCTCTCCTTCGTCTGCGAGTCGAAAGCAGGGTTCTCCACCAAGCACTTGATGAAGACCCAGAGGTGGTTCCTCAGATCTGAACTAAAGTCTAAAGCCGCCCGCAGGCTGATGCCTAACGACGGTCACTTGGACTCGGGCTTGACATGGTGTGGTCTCACATCCACCCCTCCCTTCACCTTCTCCTTGCTCTGCGCCTTGACTTTCTCCAAGATTGCCTCCGCGCTCGCTTTCTTGGCATGTCTCTTCGCATGCTAGCTCCTGCTAGCTCCTGCTAGGTCGCTAGGTGTTCTACAAGTGTTTCTAGAGCTTCAGAAAAACTTACAACTAGGTTTCAAAGTATTGAAGAGTTGAGATCGGTACATTGAAGATTTGCGAGCCAATCTGATGTGATCCGCTTGGATTTGCTTTGATCCGGCCTCGACGATCTGATCGGACACGTGGGTCACGTGCGTCCCGCCGCGAATAGTGCAAATCGAGTTCACAAAGCTCACCTCCACCAGGGAGCTTAAGCTACGTGGACGCTGGCTTTCCTTGCATGATGACAACCAACTCAACGAACAATACGAACAACGATTCCCAAACATGTCCGGCATCTGTGCCTGGTTGAAGCCACTCTCCGTGAGGCTCACGCAGATCTCCCACCTCGACAGCCCACACATACGGCTATCCGGTCACTGCAAGTTCACATTTCGCCACAGGCCGAGCCTGTCAGAGCACTTCTCGTAAATTTGCGGCACGCCCTGGCGTGTGAGCCTCAGGAAAGCCATTTTTCTCGGGACGCCTTTTGGAAGGACTCCTCTCCGGACTTTCTTTTCGAAAAACCCTTCCAACTTCTCTCTTTGGCGCTGGCAGGTAGAGGTCGCAGTAGTCGCGGAAGTTGCGGACGTCCAACTTCTCACCGTTGAGGAAGACGCTACAGCGGTCCTGAAAGGATAGCACATGCCTCGGGCACTGCTGCGACAAAGTCTTTCTGGGAGCTGGGCCGTTGTGGATCCGGCCACGTCATACACACGCTTCGTCAGCAAAGACACAATGTCATCCTTGGTTCTCTTGGCCACTGCCATTGGCTGCCACTGCCTGTGGTGGTCTAATTGGGCTGCGCGCGGCGCCACAGATGAAGAGTGGACTGAGACAATCGACAATCGGGACTATCGTGACTATCGTGACTATCGTGACCATGCAGGCCGCAAGTCGTCCAGACGTGTCATGCCGAACTTTGCCAAGTCTGGCTTGAAGGTGATGCAGGTAAAGGACTTCTCCTGGCGCATGCCAATCGCATTCGGTCGCATGCAGATGCACACGGACGTGGAGCCATGGAGGCGAGGAGGCCTTTGTCGCAACGATCTCCGGTTTGCCCTTAACCTTCCAACTTTGGCGAACCCCGAGCACATAAACGCAACACACACACACACACACAGACACAGACACACACACACACACACACACATAAATATATATATATATACACACACACTGTTACGCTTTTCATGCAAACAAACAAGCAAGCAAACAAACGAAAATAAACACAAACACCATGTGAGGCACGCAGACAAAAAGTGAACCTGCATGTTCTTCGTGAAGACTTGGGTAAACCTGTCAGCTAGCAGTGTGGCTTGACGTGTGCTCACGAGAGAGAAGCGCCAATTCGGCCTGTTTTTGCCGTCGCACGTCTCCACTTTGAACTCGGTGGAGAAAACGTTGGCAAGCTTGGCGCCATAGCCATTCCGACCTCCCACCACCTGGCAGATTGCACTCCTGTACTAAAGCGATTATGCATTCCAAGAGAAACAAGAGAACCTCAGCACCGCTTTTTCTTCTATCCGCTTGCACCTTACAAGAAGTGTCGTCGTAGTTGTCGCTGGTCAGCAAGTGGCCAAACACAAGCTCCGGGACGTAGACCTTGCTGCCGAGGACATCGAATCGTGCTGATTCTGCCAAGCACTCGCCTCTCTGCGCCGCTTGCCGAGCCATGTTTGTCTCCCTTGTTTTCTTGGTTTGTTCCTGGTGGAGGATTTCGGGCAGTTTCGGGCGGAAAGGTTTAGAGTGGAGGGTTCGTCTAGGGCTAAGGTTACAGCGTTGAGGGTTTTGGACATTGGCCTTTGAGGGTTTTGGGAGATGCAGAGCCAACTGTGATTCTGAGGAGCAGAAAGTAACATGAGTGCCGGACTTTTTGCTCCTTGTGCAGGACTACGGGTAGACCCCTGGAGGGCAGCTCAGGCAGCTCAGGCTGTGCGGCAAGGAAGTCGCATGGGTTTGGGGCAGGGAGGTGCCCGCAGGCCTGCCGTTGTTCCACACTGAGAGCAGCCCCTGCTGCTGATGGATCTCCACCTTGATGCTGTCCATACCCTGGCTCAAAGGGCGAATCGTCAGGTTAACGGATTTAACAGATTTAACGGATGCCCTCTGCTTTGGGAGGCGCTTTTCGCCTGCGGGTCCCGTTGCAGGTTGTCCGCGGCGTTCACCAAGATCTCATCGAAGATCTTGTAAAGAGCAGGTACCTGGCAAAGCTGGACACACCTTGCGGATCCTGGACCTTGCGGCCTCGCCTTCCTTCAAGTACCGACGTATGGTGTTTCTTCACCCGGGGGATTTGGGATGTTTCGGAATTTGTTGGATATTTCGGAATATTTGGGTCGGAGGAGTTGGCCTTTGCAACTGCGATGGCGCTACTGTTGTGCAATCATGAGCTCCTCGGCGTTTTATGAAACACATTTCGGATGAAGGTTTTGGGGTTTAGGATTGCACAAGAAGAAGGGTTTCAGGATTTTGGGGCTTCAGGCAATTCAGGGGCTTGGTTTACTACAGCTTGGGGGGAAGAATCTTCCCGCGCGCACGAAGCTGATCTTCCGGTGCACCATGCGGCTCTGCACGCCATCGAAAACCCAGAGGTCCTCAGGTAACGACACGCGGCCAGGGCTTGGATGCAGCATGATGCAGTGCCTGGATTCGTGAGACGAACCTACAGGAACCGTGCTGAGACATACCTAGATGGCGTTTCTCCGTTTCTCCGTTTCCCCTGCCTGCACCTGGGCTTCAGTGGAGCCCACATATGTGTCCGGGCGAAGAAGAATGTGCTCCAGCCTTGAATCAGCCAACACACGAAGCTGATTCTAAGCTGATGCCTTGAGGCAAAAAGGGCGGAAAGGGTGGGCGCCAAAGACTCGCGCGCAACGACCGAAGGCACCGGTATTCAAGTGGAGCCGGGAGCGATGGTGCTTATCTTCCACGAGCATGTCCTAAGGGTCCTAAGGGTCCTAGAGGTACTTTGACCAGGTACTCTGTTCCAACAACAATGGCAGAACACACGCAGGAACCTCGCATAGCTGGCCCTCGACAGGTTCGCCTCCCCGGCTTCGGATTCCGAGGTCAGGACTGGGTCTTCTTCTGGTAGATCTGCTCGATGGACTTGCCCTCACGTCCTGAACCCGGTCATTAAAACGGAGACACGCATTGAGTCAACTTCCATCTTTGGTTGGCACATGATGGAACATGATGGAACATGATGGAACATGATGGAACATGATGGAACATGATGGCACATGGTCTCATGGTCCTTTCGTATGCGATGCATTGGCCATCTGCTGACTACGTCTCACTGTGTCTCACAGTAAAGACATCCAGGCTCTACCACAGCCTCACACCCTCACGCTTGCTGAGCCAAATAAGTCAAGACGTCTGGGACTCACATGGACTGACCACCCCACATGCTGAGGCAAAGCGAGTCGAAGTCAAGCTTCGTTGAAGATGAGATGAACATAGTAACATAGATGAACTTTCATGCAAAGCCTCGACGCTTCAGCAGGCTTCGCAGCTGAGCCGAGGCATGGAGCAGCGACTGGCCAGGGTTGAATGCGCTGATTTGTGCTGCGCAGCATCTCCCCAAATCGAAAGGCCAGCCCCCCCCCCCCCCCCCCAGATTTTCTTCTGAACGTTTCGGATGCTGCAGATGGGACGGCCACCCTGCATACAGAACAACAGTTGTCGGGACCCACGTCCAACGTAACACCGTCAAAGGCGCTGTACGGCGTAGCTGGATGAAGGTGTTTCGGAGCTTCGTGGCCTCGGCCCCGAACCCCTTCCTGCCCTCTCCCATTGCATCCCCTTCCCTCCGTTCGCCCCCTCCTTTGCTTGCCATCCCTCCATTCCGCAAAGGCTTCCAGGATCTCGCCAAGTAAAGCAGGCTCTGGGGTTGCCATGGGTTGCCATGGGTCATGGGTTGCCTCTCGAACAGGTGTGCAAAACTTAGCTACCCAAGCGGCTCTTCGTGCGCTAAGATTCGAAAGGCAAAGAGCAGCCACAGACATGCGCGAGGCTGCACACCACTTGACCTACTGATGGAACAAGGAATGCTGCCGAGCAGGGCATTGAAGTGTGAAGGGATGGAAAGTCAGTGCATGCATGCATGGCACACACACACACAGCGCATGTCACATGATCGTCACTGTCCACCTTTTCTCACCAGCTGCGGGAGCCTTCCGAGCAGCGCGCGGAAAGTACGACAAGCCCAAGTCTAAGTCAGAGCATGGGCGTCCGCTCTGCTGATCTCTGACACCGCTCAAATCACCGGGATTGGACATCCCGTCCCTCCAGATGGCTCTCCACATGGCTCGGAAGTGCTCAAGTCTGTCCTTTCACAGCTAGACTGCAGACTGTAGACTCATCTGGCAGCTGATCATGTGGCCAACTGTGGCAACATAGAATATGGCAACCACCGGAACGGCAGAGATGGCGGGTCAATGCAAGTCGGCCTCCATTGGTGCTTTGCTGGCGATTGTCCTCCCGCATGTCAGGGGCCAGGAAGTCGAATTGCCAGCTCACCAGAGAGGGCGCTGCATAGGGCACCATAGGGCACCATAGGGCACCATAGAGCACCATAGGGCACAGTTGCGGAACTCGCCGGGAGCGTTTGGAGCTTTTGGGGACCGTGGCATGGCAGTTAAGGCGCGTCCGCCACGTCCGTCGCGTCCGTCTGTAGGGCTTTCTGCTCGTCTGCCGTTGCGTCCCTCGCTTCCCCGAGAGCCAACGTGCCAAGTCGAAGAGGCCCAATCCGCGTTCCTCAGCTTCCCGCAATGCCCCTCTAGAAAACGGAAGATATCGGAGAGAGAACCTTTTTTTCGACTACGGCCGAATGCGGGGGGTGAAGCAGGTGGGGACCCCTCACATGGAACTTTGGGAGAAGTGAATGGGACCGGGCGGCAGCTGCCAACAGCTACTTGGCGCACAGTTGCACAATGTCTGGTGGAAGTGCTCTTCAGTGGTTTGAGCAAGGGCCCTTTGGGGTCGGTCGCCCGTACAGAAAGGGCTTCAGGGGCAGAAGGGGACATGTCCAGGAAAGAAAGCCCCCAGAAAAGCCTCGAAAGACCAGCGCACGCGGTAAGAAGCCCGATGGGGCCCTTGAGGCCAGGCCAAGAGAAACAAAAAATGCGCACCTAAACAGAGCCTCACTGATGCGTGAGCTTTCTGCGCTCCTCCCAGCCCTCAATGATGGTTTGATCCCTTGGCCGAAGCACTGAGCAACCACTCCACGGCAAGGCCTTCAGACTTGCACATCCGCCGGATCTGGCGATTTCGGCCTCTTCGTGGATGAGGCAAATGCACGCACTTTGCAGAGAGAGAAGAGAGAGAAGAGAGAGAGAAGAGAGACAAAAGAGCGAGCGCGCAGACCAGGCTCGCCTTCGCAAAGTACGAAGCGCAGGATGGCCCGAGCTCTGTTCACGTCCTTGCGCCTGGACGTCGTGAAAAGCAAGACCGGCGCACTTGAACAGCCTACTGAAGTTGCCCAAGATTTCTGAGTCCCTGGCACCAAGGCCACGGCGCAGGGTAGTGTCCTTCCGCGTTTCGCATTGCCATCCCTGATATCGATGCCTTCGCGGGAGTACGGAATTCCGGCACGTACTGTAGGCATGCTTATTCACCAATAACAACTTATGCTTACAAAACTGCTTTGAAAAGATTGCTGTATAGTACAGATTGCTCATGATACTGCAATGATGCTACGATGCAATGACGACATGGCATTGAAAGTTGAGCGGCAACAGGCCATGCACCGGAAGCTCGGGTTGCATGGGCGTTGCTTCAAAGGAAAGACTCCTACGTTCAAACAAAGACGGTTTCTTTGACTCAACCTTCCAAGGACTCGAGGGAAGGCGCGGAAAGGGGCATATACATGGTCAGGCGCGGAAATTATTGAAGGGCAGGAATCTGATCCTGTCTGGCCGTATCTCCTTGTCGTTTTGCCATTACTCGTGCCAGCGAGGCCAGGGTTTGCAAACCATAGCCGAGATGGTTGAGAGCTTCTCGGGCGCAGGACTAATGCAACTCATGTCGAGGGTTGGAGCTTTTTTCGAGTATAGCCTGCTCTGCGGTCACGCACGTCCCGCTGAATGCAAGAGGCACGTAAGGCCAACGACAGGGCAGAGGGTCAGCTGAAACACGCGGAGGGGGAATCCGTCAATGCAGAGTTGAACACGCGACCCCCAGGCTGAGGGTGTGAACATCTTCGCATTGTCAGATTCTGGCACGGCGCCCCCCGCAAGTGTACCCGGCACCCGACAATAATCCAATTTGCGTCCCTCAATCCTCGCAACGAGGCCCCCCTATGCTCCCCTACTGTGAGATGCCCCCCAATTTAGCTTCCTGACCAACTCTTCAGGGGTGTGTGATTGCAGAGCTGGCAAACGCCCCGCACACTTCTGCCACTTCAGAAGCCCCAAAGCATCGCATCGCCTTCCCGAAGCCGCTGCAGGCTCCGCGCGCCGGGGAGCGGAGTCACGCTGACCAGGTACTCCTCCGCCCGCTTTGCACACGAACACAACTGACGCCCATATGGGTATTGCATATGAGTATATTGAACACAAGCTGCCGCTGCTCGAAGCACACGTGGAAGAGCTGGCGCCCAGCTCAAGCGAAAGGTCTCCCGGACTCTGCCCGTCGCAACATTCGCAACAAGCTGGAACACACACGACCCACACCTCGTGAGGAGACTGTTGGGGATTGGTGCGCAGGAGAAACCTCATGCAAGTAGGTGTCCTACTGACGTTTGAGAGAGGATTCCTGGCTTGTTCCTGTAGCATTTATCCGATCGACACATCCTTCAAGGAAAACATCGAGCGGTACAAACTGCGAACTGGACGGCCAAGTCTCTCCTGTCGGTACACTAGAGACTCGTAGTTGCTGCTCCAAGAATGCCTGCTCCTACTGAGGCGCGGAGCAAAACGCACTTCTACTTCAAAGCCGAGTCCTTCTCGCAGCTGCCGGGCCCCGTGAGGCGATTCCCGAGCTGCGAGGAGTCTGTGAACAGCAGCAGCCCCATGGAGCCGGCATCCAGTCGACCTCGCAAAGATGGCAAAGATGCCACACCTCCTCTGCGCAGTGTACAGTGGGAGCTGTATTTTGTAGAAACTTGTGTGTACATGTGGCTCGAAGAGCCCTTCAGAGCCAACCACAGAAGTAGATTCCATGATTTAAAAATGATGCTTGCCGTTGTCCCTGCCACTTCCGCGCCGCCCAGGCCACACGCTCAGCCCTTACAAGAATACTGTACTGTAGCCCAAACGCTGCAGATGGATTCAGCCCATGGGTTTTGCTGCTTTGCTCGCAGATTTTGTAGGGACAAGGCTTCATTAAGGCATTTGCACTGATAAGAAATCTGCCGAAGGGAGCGTAAAGCAGGTACCCCCACCCTTCATCCCCTAACACCTTGACGCAGTTTTCCCCCCCCTGTTTCGTCCTGCCCCGCCCATTCGCCCACGCCTCCGCTTCCACGACCTAGCCGAAAACAGGACCATGGGGGCCAGCGGCATGGGTTCTGTGTTCACTCGTGTTGACAGGCGGCCGACGGGGCGCAGCGCCGGGATGTGCGGTGCAAGGAGGCTGCGGTAGGGGGCGGGAAGTGCCTCCTGAGGGCACTCAGCATGTATCGACACAGCGGACATCTGAATATTCATCCATATCCCGTAATATCCCCAACTCAACAATGAGAGAGCCAGCGTCCTGCAGCGCTCGCAGGTGCCGGTCCGTGCTGCTTTGTGTGGTGCGCAGGGAGGTCACCACCCCGGGCGGCTTGTTGAAAAGGACCAGGCCTCATAACTGCACATCTGGATACAAATCGAGCTAATCTGTCAAAACCCCTTGATCATTCTCATTCCAATCCCCCCGCAAGAGCCTGCACCCGGGTGGTTGGGAACAAGCACACCCGACGCGTGGAAGCCGTATCGACGTCTTCCCTCGCCAGTTTCTCGAGGGCCCTCCTCCTTCTGGATCTCGCTGTTGCTAGGTTTCTGGACAGTTTTGGAAGCAACAGCCGGTCTCTTCGGTCTCTTCGGTCTCTTCGGTCTCTTCATCTTGGCTGCAAACAAAACTACCCCCACATAATGGGGGCCTCGGCTTCTTTGGATCAGTGTGCCCAAGCCCCAAGCTGTTCAGGCCAGAACCATCGTAGCTGCCCCTGTGCCATCTTACACTGTAGGACGACAGTTCAGTACTTACAGCTTCGTGCCACGCACATGTGCGGAGCACGAGCATGCGAGACAAGCCAAGCACTCTCGTGCTGAGAAGAGATTTAAGGAATGCAAGGTTTCGTGATCTTTCGGCCGTTGCATCTTTGATTCGTTTGAGGAGGAATTGTACAACGTGAAGACCAAGCATGACTCCGAGACACTCCGAGGATGCTCAAAATTAGGAAAAGACCCCCGCACCCCCCTTTGTGCGTCGGATCACCCTCGGAATCCCCTGAGAGCATGGGGAAGTGGGGAAGGAGCTCCGCCACAACATGAAAGCTTTCTGTGGGGGAGTAGGGGAAGCCTTTCACAGAAAATCGGTTGAGCGTGGCACACAAGCGATGCCAAGCGACGAGGCGGCTCGGAGTCCCAGTCGGGCAGAACAACTTTGCCGACGCCCCGTAGTCTGATTTCGTCGCCGGCACGGACTTTGGAGAAGGGGTCCCTCACAGTGGCCTTGAAGGTGCAGACCACGGGCTGCCCCCTCCCCCCGGACAGCAGGTCGGCATGAATGAAACTCGTAGGCTTCTCTTGTCTAGCACGGTTCCCTCTCTGACTCTCTGACCTTTTCGTGGTGTCTGCATATTTGCCTTGTTCACCATCACATTGCCGGCTCTGACCTGCTTCGCTGCCTCCCGGCGGCTGAGGACTCCTGCCTTTGCAGCGCGACACAGAACTTCTCACTACAAGTAGAGAGACAGAGAGAGACAGAGAGAGACAGACAGAGAGAGACAGAGAGATTTTATCATGGGGCACCTTGCTAAGGAAACGTTCCAGCTTGAAGATGCGCCGATCCTGCATCAGCAAAAGCTTTGAGAAAAAGAGCACACTCCGCTGCTTCAACTGTAAGCGTGTACTCACACCGGGGCCTCAACTGCTGAGTCGCTAGCTTCGCCCGCAGACAAGGCCCTGCGACACTGCGAACAAGCTGTTGGGCGAATGTAGCGCCCCTGTCACCATGAAGTGCCCCATCTTTCGCTGCGTGGTCCTGTGCCCCTTGCGGGTGCAGTGCCAGGTCCACGTCAGGACCCCCCAAGACGCCCACCTTCGCACTGACCGAAAACATCAGACAACCATGACGACCATGACCGCCACAACGCCGCCAGGCCTCGAGGGCCGAGGCGTGCGCACTCGCAAGGCGTGTGCACCGCTTGGAGCAGCAGCCACGGACCGTGGCCACCACGTCTCCCACACTCGGGAGCTCGGGAGCATGGCATTCCGCGGATTACGAGCACCAATGTGTTTCCAAAAGGGTGCTGCACAGCTAAATGCTCATCCCATGCACAAAAATTGGTCCAACCCTGCTGCTGCCCCCCTTGCTGGCTAGCTCTTGCCATGCTCCAACCATATGTGTCGCACCACGACCCTTGAACCTGAAGCATTCCACACTGGCATCACTGGCTTGCGCATCCCGCCCACACAGTTGCAAAACGGACCTTCCGCCAATCAGGGAGCTAATCTAACGGAAGCCGCAAGGTGCGCAAATCAACCGGCGATGATCATCGAAATATACCGTAACGTATTGTATTTGTAGCGCAACAGTTGTTGGTGCTGTCACTTTCGCTCATGGTTCTGTTGCCTCCTCGCATCTGAAGCTATGAACTCCAAGCCACCAAGGTTGATGGCTGGCTCGCGGCTCCGTGTTCTCTACGCATGTGCACTGACTGTTGGACAGCTCGACAAGTGATGCCAGATGCGCCGGCTGATACAATCACTGTGTGTGTCCGCTGCTTACTCGCCTCGGCTTCCTGCTCCAGACGTCTGGAGCAAGCAGAGCCGCATCGGGCCCTTCCCGGAGCCCAACCCTTCCCTCCCCGTGCAACCTGTGGGACCCCGCCCCCCCCAATAATCGCTTGGAGGAGCTGCAAACCGATGCCGTGGAGGGTCCCGCCTGTCGGCGGCTCCTGCACAGAGAGCGCCTCAAAACGCACGAAAAGCCTCCACCCCCCCCCCCCCGCCCCAACCCCCCCTCACCCACCCACCGCTGTCAGCGCCAGCTTCAACTCTTCCAGGGCCTGACGGTAAGCTGGATCTGGATCCTGAGTACCTGGACACCAGAACTCCCACCTGCAGGATGAAACTAAACTTAAACTCAACTAACTCCAAAAGAGTCAAGGCCCTCAGCGCTTCAGAAAACACCGAGGAGGCCACGAAATCAAAACTGTCCGGATCATTGAAGTGAAACTCCTCATTCCCAAGAAGCTTCAGCAAAGTACCAAGGCCATCCAAACCTTTCCAGGTTCTAAAAACATTCATCACACCACTACAAAGTCTGGAAGATTCAATATAACCACCGAATTAACCCTATATTCATTTATCAATCGGGTATTATCACCATAGCGATATTATATTAGCAATGTTTAACAATAGATGTATATGAAAAAAGAGACATGGCGACGACGATGACTGTGCTGCAGGCGATACAATGGGTTTCTGGAGCGAGTTGTTGAACCAATCCTGGCCCGATTACCCAGTTGCAAACCCCGACTTCCCGCGGACCGCACACTAACAAAATGGTCTTTTCACAAAGCTATGCTGTCCTGGCCCTTGCTTATTACATGGACAACAAACCATTCCCTCCATGTCCGCCAAGCAGTGACTACGACGATGACTGCGTCTGCAGGCAAAACAACGAGTTTCTTGAGCGACATGTTGACGTCGGCAGACAATATCAACCAAACCTGCAAGAGCACCAACCCGCCCCCAAACCATAAAACCCTGAACCCTGAACCCCAAAACCCTAAACAAAAAGCTCAACCACAAGCGCATTCGGCACAATTCTTGTCCGAAACCTAGGCCTCGACGGTGAGACCGTCCAGGGGCGGCGCAGTTGTGACCTAGCGCTTGTTCAGGAGCTTCGTGCTGGGTGTTTTAGGGGTTCGAGTATTTGGCTTGATGCTCGCACCCCTCGGAAATAAAGCAGATGCTTCGGAGGAGATTCTACAGGGGCTCAGGTTTCAGTTCTTTTGGGGGGGGAGACCTGTTGGGGCTACCTTGAAGCACTTGCTGAATTTGTCAGGTGCCTAATCCAAGCATGTAGGCCGCTACATTTAAAGTGGTGGGCCGAAACTTGATCAAATATCTCGGAAACATCAGAACTCAGGATAGGCTGCCTCTACGGTGTGCAGCAGATTGTCCCATACGTATTTTAGACATATATAAGTTTCTTTTTATATATGTATATGAAGTAGGACTCGAGGGTGTTGCTCGCCGTCGCTCGGGCCTTTCGTGGGGAAGAGTCTGTTCCTCGATGAGCGGAAGGCCGGGGTCGAGTTCCGAAGCGAAGCTTTCCCATGTTCTGCCTGACCTTGTCCACTGATTTCGGTCGAGAGCTCCTCCCATGTTCGGGCCCCCGGCTTGCTTCCCTGGCTCTGGACGCGGGGCTCGCTGATCGATCGTCCACTTCGCTCACCTTGCTCCAGTCGGTCAGCTGCCCAGTGTTCTCCGCCACCTCCTCTTGTTCTACTTCTTCCGGGCGAGGTCGGTCTCCTTCCGGACGGCGTCGTCGGTGAGGCTCGTCGGGCTTCTTCCGGTCGGCCATTATCCGGAGGGCGGGGCGAGGAAGGTTGGGCGGGATTCGTCATATACTCCGTTCCTGAGACCTCATTGGCATCGGAGATGCGATACATGAAGATTGCAACAGTGTCGGTCTTGTGTGGCAAGGGTCGTCGAAGACGGGTATCGATAGCAACTTCTTCATCCAAAAGCTGCAAACCCGACGACGAATCGAACACACTTCGACGGACAACCGTCGACCAGTCGGGGCCTCTCTTGCCAGGACCGACCGCGTTCAAGACATTTCTATCATGACGGGCGAACGATCTCAACATTGCCGGGGTAGCTTTGGAGGTCACGGATTCTTGGGGCCCTGCAGGTTCCGCATGATAAACTGGGGCGGCTTCAAGGTGACGGGTTAGTTCGGGCTCGTGCGTGGGGAACATCTGCTGGGAGAACTCGGCAACTGGTACGGCGTAATGTCCACCAATCGTCTGAACGAGGCCATAATTCTTGACTCCTAATCTTCTGGAAGACACGGTGTGACGTTCAGTATCTATCATCATGCCTGAGCCTCAAGATGACCCTCACTCCCATAGTAGTGGCCTCGAAGATGAAAGCAAACTCGCTACAGAGCTCACGCCCATCCCCAAACCTGAAGCTTTCCTTCTCCCTCTCGGATTTCATCCATCTGCCCAAGGAACGTAGGTGCTGAATGTGTTGATTCACCCACAACTGACTTCACGCACCCCAAATCCAAGATCAAGCTATGGCATAACTCTCGCATCGACCAGAAAGCTTCATAATCCACAACAGTGCTTTCATGATTCCTGCCACCCAACAAGCATGTCCCCGAGCAGAACTTCCCGGTCGTGCAGCCATGTATCCCTACCAGGACTCAAGCAAGCTCCATTGCTCCGGGCTTCCGACTGAAGGCCCTGCGGTAACGTGCACAGCATGCGAGTTCTTCGAACCGCCGCTCTGCTTCATGGGACATTCCTTCGGCCAATGGCCCAAGCGCCCACAGATAAAGCAAGGCTCCTTCTTCTGCTGCTCTTTGATCCACGCGCGGGCCTTGTCCCCTTGGTTGCCCTCCTTCTTGAAGAACTGCCGCATCTGCTTCAGCTCGTTCACCCGCTTCTTAGCCTTGTACTCCTGGGCGTAGACTTCTGCAGGGAGATCACTGGCTTCGTCGCCCTCGGAGTCGCTCTCTTCTTCGGGTCGGCGATCACGATCTGAGTCCCTCTTGCTCCGATCCTCCGGCGAAGATGGCTCCTCTGCCGACGAATCATCCATACCATCATCTTCCAAGATCGCACGGAACACCTGCTTTCACTTCTTGAAGTTTCGCGCGCGGCGATCCCGAGGGCGACGTCCTTCTCACGACCTCCAGCGCCTCCACGATCGTGCCCCTCGCGATCACGGCGTCCCTTCGGCGCCAGGTACTCGTCCTCATCTGGCAAGTTCGGCCCCCCGCGCCCTATCGGACACCCATGCTGTCCTTCCAGTTGCTCCGACAACTCCAGGATGGCATTGACGAGTCTCGTCTCATCCGAAAGGCCCCCAGAAGCCGTTTTGACCAGGGCCTCGTCCTTCTTGGTCAATCGCGCCGCATCCAACAGGTGGCCCACCTTGTAGCTCTGGCACTGGTCGTTCTCCTGCCTGTATATCGTGGCTCGGTTGATGAAGGACTCCAAGGACTCGCCTGCATACCTCGAAGAGGCGCATGAACTTCTGTCTCTTTCGATCGATGTCCTTGTGTTCCAACAACCTGATGATCGGTGACTTCTCCGTCTCCGCCTTGATGATCTCCACCCCGTTCTCGGACGCGACCTGCTGCACCGTGAGGTGGTTGGCGATCTTCGCCGCTCGCTCCTTCAGCGCTGCTGCATGATCCTGGAGGCTCGCGCTTGCGGAGGCAAGTGAACCCCCTCCGAGGCCAACCAAAACTCAACTGCCCGCCAGAAGTCCTTCCATGATTCTCCAGGGTGGGCCTTGAACTCAGGTGGAAAAGAGTTGCGCAACCTCACATACGCAGCAGGCTTCGGCGCAATCGCGGGCGTGCCTTCTTCCGTGGAGAGCACTCGGTCGCCCTCCGTGACTTTACCGGGACACTCACAATCAAGCATGCCCGGTAGCTGTGCAGCATGTTCTTGGACGGGTCGAGCTTCAGCAAGTGGTGGGTCGTGTCGTCGACCACCTCGGGGCGGCGCTCGTCCAAGCTCTTCCGGCGAATCGGGTACTAGGTCTCGAAGCCGGACGCCATCCCCGCTTCCTCTGCTCTGTCGCAAACCCGTCCAAGCATCACGATTGGGCTCGGCCTCCACCGGCGGTGTCGGGGCGTTCTCCCGCCTGTATAGCAATCGGGGGAGAGGAACTTCCGATTTTGGGGGTAGAAGAGGCTGCATCTTCGCTATCCGAGGACCAGTTCTCACGTCTTCCCCCTCTCCTCCAGGCTGGACGGACTAAGTCCAAATGACTTGCCCTTGGGTCTTCGTCCCAACTTGAAGACTGAGTCCACGAATACCAAGACCACTGGCGCCACTCCTCTTCGGAGGCCTGCCAGCTCCCTTGGCTTCCATTAACTCTCATTTCTCCATCGGCCAATCTCTCGATGTCTTCTCGCCGGGCTCGACCTTGCTCCAGCGCGCCCCGCACTGACGGTGTCCAGGGTCGCGCCCCTGTCGCACTCAGGACTGTCAACTCCACTGCGGCCCACCGCCCGCCCGCAGCATCGCGGAAGATACTCATGGCTCAAAATTAACCCGGCCACTACCTAACCAACCAAACAAACTCACTTCCCCAACACCACCCAAAAACCGCCTAGGAGCCCCCGCCCCACTATCGGAGGCTCCGCTACCACAGAAAAGCCCCACCGACAAAACCACAACCGACCCTCGGGCCTTTTCCACTTCCGGCACGCTGCGAGCCGTAAACCTTCCGGTAGCCTGTCAGGGGCAGCAGCTGGAAAAGGGGATTTCTGACACTTGGGGTTATTTAAAGTTTTGGCGTTTAAGGATTGTAGAGCTTATAGAAATATGGTTGTTAGGAATCAAGGATTTAGGATTCATGACTTTGGTGAGGATGAGGGCGGAGGGTACGCGGGATATGGGCTGATTTCAACACAGGGTTTCCAACAGTGGCTTTTGAAGGTCGGAAATGCCACGGTTTGGCTCTGGGCGTCCAGTTCAAATCAAGCTCTTGATCTACTCCAGGAAGGAGCCTACAACACAAGCGAACCAAATGTGGAACAGTTCCAACAGATTGAAATCGGGAAACTTTCAATTATCTTCAGCCTATACGGTAAGCCATCACACCCGCCCTTTACATACCAAATCGCCTGGCAAAGGCTGGGCAGCATCTGCGTCTGCCCGGGGCGGCACGAGGCGCTTCGCCATGTTTCCTGGTCGCAACGCTCGTGTTTGAGGTTTTCGCCGACTTGAGTATACGAGTTTCTTGTGAACCCAGGCACAAATGAGAGCCTGCACTAAACTTTTACGACCCCCCGCAAACTAGTTGGGGGTTCCAACGTATCAGAAAGAGGCATGAGGACGTTTTCGCGTTTGCGGAAGAACAGAAACCCCTATACAAAATTGCAAATGATCTTTGGTGGCTTTTGTAGCATCTGACAATGACTAGGAGGCTGTCGACGTGCAGGGTTCCAGCTTTTTCCCGACTGGAAGTCCAAAAGATCGGCTTCAAGCCTGAGTCCCGCTAACGTTTCGGCAGCCTGGTGTAAGTGTTAAGACTTCATGGAAATCTAAGCTCTGCAACACGCAACCACAATGGGATTTCAGAGAGCCTGTCGATACAAACATTACATGGACAACACGCCCAAACCCGTCGTTTATTGGGATCCCCTGGCCACAAACATTTAGCCACGCAGTTACTTTGCAGAAGCCGCCAGAGCGTGTGGAAGGGGGATGATGGGCTTGGCTTGACAGTTTCAGGCAGATGCCCTTCACGCTATCCTTTGAAGCAGTTCGAGGTTGTAGGGTCTATTTCAGAAGTTCGCGAACGCTGGGCCTTCATCTGCTGCTTGGTCAGAAGGTCTCGCTGAACTGGGCACATCCTCAGTTCGCAGCGACGGGGATGAACACTAAACCAAGCAAAGCCTACACCCGAAACCTTAAAGTCTAAAACAAAGAAGGGCCCCTGAGCAATAGATTCTTTGGTCGGCGAGTTTGTGCTAAAATCCTCAGCCTGAAAATGCACACAATGTAGCAGCCTTCAGAAGTAGAATATGATAGAACATGGCTTTTCAGGATACAGACGGGCATATCATGAAACATATTCCGGCCCCTATATTCCCGAGTCGCCCAAACCGTAAACCGAGACCGAAACACCATCGGCTAAAGCTCGACACACGGTCTGAGCGCCAACACCCAACAAATGAACCCACAACATTTCAGATCCCTCTTCGAGACCCCAACCCTACCTCACAGGTTCAACCAACAGCTTCCCGGCAAAATCAAACAATATCCTCGCCTCTTCTTCAAAACCACCAACTAACTAACGCCCACATCCTAATCCCGCACTCGAAGCACTAAAACCCTCAGCCCTACGACCGCAATTTCCTCCAAGTCGAAAGCCGGTCACCATCAACTCCAATTGCCCCTAAAGTTCAGCGCCGGAAACCCCCGAAAACCCTGGCGGCCACGCGAATCCTAACCCCTGAACCTTTCTACAACCCTGCGGAACCCTGAATAAAACCCTGACGAATCAGCCCTTATACAACAAGCCATGGTCAAACGGTTTCGTAGTTCGACGACCGGTAAATGCCTCTAAAGTCCTTATAACACCCTGCTACAGCCCTCACGGAGCCGACCAGAAATACGCACGCCGCGTGATCCCTAAACCCCTTGTAACCCTAAACCCCGGTAGCCCTACACCCCTAACCCTTGAACCCTTAAGCCCAAAACCCTTCAACGCTGTAAGAAAAGCAAGAAAAAGGGCCACAGCTGAGCCACGTCTTCTGCAGGAAGGTCTTTCTTTTCGCAACAATCTGCGGATATTGAGGTTTGGGACTGTAGGGTTGAGGCCGTATGGGACTTTACCGGATTCATTCTGTTTTACAGGGTTTTGTGTGCTTTTTCAGAAGGGGCTACATGTAGGGCTGCAGGTTCAGGGGTCTGGAAGACGCTTTGTTGCTGACAAGGGTTCTGCGGGTTGCAAAAGGCTTTGGCGCCGAATCGGGTTGAAGGTTGCGGGTATGGCGGAGAGTTTGGGCTCAGGGTTTAGGGCTCCTGGGTGTTAGTTTGGAATCTGGGAGCACAATAACCGCACCAACTGGCCCGGGTTTTGGGATCAAGGTTCGGGTTTAGAGGTTAGGGTTTTGGGATTTGGCGACTCGCTCTCTCTTTTTGTTTGTCCAGCACTTTTTGCATGTGGATCGATCTTTCAATCAAAGAAAACTTTGACGCCATTCTCGGCCCGTAGAGCCGGCAAGAGAAACCCTGGAATAGAATTTACACCTGAATTTAAACCTGAAGACCTCTCTCAACCAAGCCAGAACGCCTGAAACCTGAACATTCGAGCGCCGAAATCGACTAGACCTCTGAAGTTATCCCAAGCCCCAACCTCCGGCCAGGGCTGGAAGCTCGATTTGTCGCCACGCAGCACCTTCATTCTGACGGGTTGTGGCTTTGTGCATTTTGCAATGTTCTGGCGTGGTTTCAGGTCATGTGTTCGTGAAGATTTGAACTCATGTCTCAAGTCAGCGACCCTAGACACCCTCGCAAACCCTAAACCCCAAACCCAAGCCAGGGTAGCTCTTCCAATGCGGGCGGCTTTTGCTCGGAGCCGACGGGGATTCTCGAGACTCGCGTGGAGCTTCGCTACAGTTGTGCCGCCCTAGGCGTTAGCTGGCAGCCTGTCGGGAGGGTTCCGAAAACATACAAACTCCAAACACGACGGGCAGTTTGCGGCATCGACCTGCTGCCAATCAGATCCAACGATGTCATGCAACTTTGATGCATGATGCCGGCATAGTCTCGTAAAGTATCCAGTGCTCCAGTGATTGCTTCTTTACATCCCAAAGCCCGTTTCTGTTGGATGCCATCAGCACTATGATGATCTCATCTACCATTGTCAGCTGAAAAAGCTAAAGTCCGCAGGCACCGACTGATTCTGTGTCGGATTCGTCTTCCTCCAGGGTTGTCGTCAACATGGCTCAAGGAAGCGGCTTCCTGGCGGATGCTTGATCCAAAACTGCGGAGAGCAAACAAGCACGAACGGAAACGGAACTGCAATAGGCTTGAGATAGCAACCCAGCAGCAGTTGCAACAGCTAATGTCCGAGTGTTGGGCTAATTATGTTGGGCTCAGCCGGTTATGAGGTCAGGCGAGCCGAGCAACACTTCCCCAAGCTTGATATTGCTAATTATCCAGACTTCTCCTGTAGCAAAAACTGAGCCCTAAGACCCCAGGCTGCACAACCAGGGCAGCGGTTTAGGAGTTCGGGGGACCCAGGGCTCTCGGCTGGCAACCCTGATCCCTCAACTTTAACACCCAGTGGGATCTCTAAGTGATGCCCCGTTTTGTGGTATTCTGAGCTCTGAGATAGGGGTTTCAGGTTCCGGGTTTAGGGTTGGCAGGGCTCGGGGTTTTGGGTTTCAGCTTTAGGGTTCAGGATTTAGGGTTGGTGGGCTTGGGGGTTAGGTCTCGAGTAAACTCTGCCTTGGGTAGTTAGAACTGTGAGTTATGTGAGGCTTCATATGCGGTTGTACCTTTTTTGTGGGGCCGTGAGATCTTACCTCCCAAGTGATCCCTGCTTCTAAGTGAAACCACGACTTCCCCCCCAAGTTCTTCATGTAGCTCCGGGCTACAGAGCTAACCCACAAAAAACGGTCCGGTGGGCTGAGAGCTGCGGCCTCTGCAAAGATGGTTCACGAGGTACTTTCTTGCCTGCCTGCGTTCTCGACGCATCGCAAGCAACAGCTTGATTACTGAGGAGAAGTAGGTGCTTATGCTCTGCCAAATTGCAAAGCTTATAGTCATAGAGGGCCAGAGCTTAACTACCGAAGAGGGGGTGGGTAGTTAAGCTTTCCGTAAAAAAAATGTTCGCATGGGTTTCATCTGTGAAGATGTGGAAGATCTAACCTGGAACTTTATTCAAGGCGGCGCTCCTGAAGAGTGCAGCCACTTGAAGATTGAAGTTCACATTGACGTGGGCCGGTGTTTAAATGCCGGTACACCAGAGCCTGCTGCTGCAGTGTACTTAGCTCCTATCATTGAGTTCACGTGTTGCTGGTGTGTTTTGTTCGTTTGCCAAACTTTCACGTTGCACACATGTGCCGTGTGCCGCTTCCATAACTGGTTGTGTGCTAGCGTGTCAGCCCGAGGATTTGCTTCTCAGGGTTGCAAAATTGCCACAGGAATTCCAGCGTGACGAGACTGACCGCTGCTGCCAAATATTGCCAAATGGATTTGTTTTTGTTTATTCTTGGAATATGAACTCAGCTACAGAACTCGAGCCCATCCAATCATTGCATGACTTCAGGACTTGAGTGTGCAAGCGGCGGAGGGGCTCACCAAGCAACCTCTCATGCAGAATGGCGTTCTCCCACATCAATAGGCGCACGAGGTCTTCACACTGAATGGGATACCTTGGCTTTGTGGAACGCATCTTATCGCATCTTTCTGAGATTGACGTTGATTTCTTCTCTATCTAACATGCTGCAAAGCAGCTCCAGTTCATGAATTGGCAAGGTGGCATGAACATACCCCAATCCATGGCGAAAACGGCCGCCCACCTTCGGGCAACGTGCGTGAGAAGCCCTAGATTCTGGACTCAAAGGTCTATAGTGTGTTAAGTGAATGTGTCAAATTCACTGGGACAACGAAAACTTCACCGGCACCACCAACACCTATCACCTATAAAGCTGATGCTTGAGCACAAGCAGCACATGTGATTCGATGACTGATGCCACCGCAGCGCTGAGTGTGCACAGAAGCTAGCGAAGTAGGATCCAGGCTACGCATGCTTTGTTAGAAGTACCGTAGTTGTGGATGTGTATGGGCATGGGTCACGTACGAAGACTTGCGCTCATGTGTCAACGAACCACAACGATCTACCACACCATGTTACAATGACACCCAATATTGCACGTACCATCTACTGTATGTACCATGTTTCACATGTATGCTGATGCTGTGTTGTGTGTGTAGTTAGTCAAATGTGTGGTCACGTGTAGTCCAGGAAGCTCTGCGCCACTTTTGGCCTGGCCAGCGACTTCTGGTCCCCGATCTCTGCTCACTGGGCGGGGTCTAACGGCCAATCTCCGTGGGCTACGGCATCAAAGTGTTCTTTCTAAGTCCTACTGCTCGTGCATCCGCCTGAACATGGAGACCTTTCACCATGCATCGGCCATTCCCTCGCTGCGTGTTGCGAACCCAAATATAGTCTCCACGGTCCACAGACCCACACCCTCATGTTCATACCATTCATACCGTCAAGCTGGATGTTGAGCCGAATGTCGGAACAACGTCGAGAGACATCCCGCCACTCTCCCTGCCGCTGAAAAATCTCTCAGATGCGCCAAGCTGCTCAATGTCCGACCAGCGTAGTCATTGATGAAGTGCGTTGCTTAGGTTAGATGTTCATGCAAATGATGCCATCGTGATGCAATCACAACACCATCACAACCAAAAGCACGCCCTTCTTGATTTTGCAGGCCAAACGCTCGAACTTGAATGTCCTTGAGACTCAGAGTGAAAATGTCACACTTCCCCATCAGGGTTGAGAGAAGGTTCGAGGTGGCCGTCAGTTGCTGGCTTAGAGATGGCTAAGTTTGTGGATGTTTGTGGCTCAGAGATGGCTACAGCCGCTTAGCTTCGGATCGCAATCCTCAGGTGTGCTCTCGTAAACCTGCCCGAAACTGCAGCTCGGCACCAGTTTGACTCGCACCAGCACCGCATCACATGCAGATCTTTTCTTCGCATTCTTCGCGCAGAGCTTCTTCGGGTGCAGAGCTTCTTGGCGCCGACTTCGCTGCGACTAGCATCTTGTAGCGCACGGCTTGCAGCAGCCTCAGGTCCCTTAAAAGGATTTGTGGTACTTGACAGGGCTATAGGGGTCCACTCAATAGTAGATAAGGGAGCAAGGTGACTAAGTGTTGCTCACGGTGACGGTGACAAGGGCGAAGGATTTAAGTGCCAAGAAGCCCCGCTTCACCGCTTTGATTCAGGTTCTCATCCGCTCGCAGCTCTCCAAAGCTGCACCACCTGCGCAGTGGAACAAAAAAAGCTTGAAGCTTCCTGCCAGTTTCGACCGAGGGGTTGGATCCGTCGGCAAAAACCTGCATTGTGGGCTCTGCATGCTTCTTGGGCTGCACACAGGGAGGGGAGTCCGCTGAAACTATCGGCGCTCAATGCTCACGGGGAGTGGGGTGGGGTGGGGGGCTTTGGCGGAAGGTGACGAAAGGGATGAAAGGCAGGCGCGATCTGCGTCCAAGGGCGTCCGCTAGCCTTGCTAATTTAGAAAAAGGCTAATTTAAAAAAAGATGGCTGGATGAACGCGGATGAAAGCATCTAACAGCTAACATCTCAGACCCGTGCTGCCCCAAGGTGCGGGCCGACTTGCACAACACTTGCCTTTCTGCGACAGAAGCTTCAGCAAGTCATGATTCCTTCAGATGGATTGTCTCCAAACTGCTTTGGTGGTCCAGGAACACGTCTCTGTCACTGACACGCTCAATGACAAAGTCCAGCTCATTTGCGAGCACCATGGCAACTAACGCAGCCATGCTGTCGAGAATCCAGAATGGCAGAGACCAGGGGCATGGCTCCTTACCGTTGCCGGCCAAGTGAAGCACGTGCGTAGAACTACTCGATACGAGTACGTTCCAGTACGTTCGCTTGGGCACCTTGCTGAGTAGTGTGGTGGCTGGGCCAGACCTGCGTCGCAAGTTTGCTGTGTCCCCTGTCGAAACATGCTCAAAACCGCAAAGGTTTTGCTTCAAGCCTTGGGAGGCAATGTCATTCAGAAATTCAGCAGCAGTTCGGTGGTGTGGCGTTAAAGTGCGTTGGCAAAAGCCGAAAAGCACCGTTGTGCAGGGAGGCAACTCCATGTACCGCTTGCTGCTTTAGGACGACCGCCACACACATTGCCGCGACACCCGTCCATTTGCGAGGTGCGTGGTTTTACCGGCATGCCCCCCGCATACTGCATGCTTGCACAGTACGACCCGTGAGGGAGTTTTTGATCGCTGGAGACCAGCTATCTTCCCGTTCCTGCTTGCAAGGCGTACGATGTATGGATGGCTACATGGGCCCCGGTGGAATGTGTGAAGGACAGGGATTTGGGGGCCTTTTGTCCTGGAAAGAAATGGGAAAGGAGTGGGAGGAATGGCAATCGCTGATTGTTGTCCTTCACCCCTCTTCGCTCGCCTTCGGCTCGTCGCTCTTCCAGCGGAACACCGGCTCGAAGCGCGCCTGAGCTCTTCGCAGCAGGTTTCGAAGCGTGACAAAAGGAGAGCGATCTCAGCGAGCCCCGAATAACAAGAAAGTTCCTTCGCTCCTCTCTTCCTCTTCCCTCCTTTTCTCGCCGATATTGCTTTCGCGCCTCGCTGCAGATCTCCTCTCTCTTTCCCTCCTCCCGTCCTTACTCGGAGAATGACTCTCCTCATCTGCCTCATCTCTCCTCTTTCCGGCTCTTCGTCTCCTTCCTCCGAGGCCGAGGGGCAGCGAAGGGCGGCAGCGAGATGTCGAAGGGCAGAAGCTGCCCTGGCCTCTCGCAGAGCCGACGGCCGAGATATCAAAAATCAACGTCACTGCCACTAATGACAACTATTCCCAGGTGCACAACGTGTTTGTTCCACTCGGCGTCACCCCCGCCCCCCCCCCCCCCCCCCCCCCGTCGTCCCTTCCTCCCCTTCCTGCCCCGCCGCCAAGCGGCTCAATGTCGACCATGTCCCGGATGGCAACGGGAGGCACTTCATTCTGCACCAGCCTCGAGATGTCTCAAAAGTTTCGAAAGATTCTCTCCAAAGTCTAAAGGCCCCGGCTTCTTTCCAGCAGCATTGTCTAGGAACCCGCAAGCCTCCCCCTCAGGCACTGGCATCACCAGACGGTACTTGGGAGCATCTGAGTTCACACTCTCCTTAAGGAAGCTGTGCACTGCTCGGTTAGGCCTCGACAATGGACAAACGGACAGGCGACGCGCAACGCGTGCCCTAACAGTCTTTCACAATGCAGCTCCACTGATCCGACAGAGGCTTGCGCAGGTGCATTAGCACATCCTGCAGGGCATATTGTGATGGCAGAAGCACGTCGCGGTAGCAAAGGTAGCAAAGGTAAGAGCTCCCCGAGCCTTCACTAGCAGAAGATCCCCTGGGGGAAGTTGCTCAGAAACCTCAAGACAGAACTGACATGCAGTACTGACATAACATATGCACTGACATCACAACGGGTCACCACAAGAACAACTCTTCCCGTTGCGAGGCCAGGCAGCATCCCCACAAAGGGATCGCGCAGTTGAGAGCCTTGTGGGGTCCGAAATCCGAGGCCGTACGCTGTACAGTTGAAAAGAGGCACAACAAGGAGAGCACTCCTCCTCTCAGCCATGGCGTGTTGGCTCGTGCTTTCCCGAGGCAAGTACCCATGGGAGGAGAGCATCGAACCATCCTCCGAAGACACTCCGAAATCGCGATCCAAGACTTGGTAAAGAACCCCCGAGCAGGTCCTGGAAGTACGCGGCATTCTCCTCCACCACATACGGCACGACGTCCACGCCAGTGTAATGCCTCTAGCTTTTTTTTCAACAACAGGAACAACTCTGAGGGACCCTGAGACTCGGGGCCCGAACATTCCGAACATCTTCTTTTTTCAGAAAGAGAAAGTCAAAAGAGCTTGACTACGCTTGACTCGTGACAGCCTCCGGGCTTCTCCGGCACTCTCTCAGGTCCTCGCACACCCTGCCAGTCCATAAACCGCTGGTACCCCGAGGGCCAGTGGCCGCAGCCTCTGAGCTCCACTCAGAGGAAGCCACGGGAAAAAAGAAAAAAAAAAAAACGTGCAGGAAATTTGGAGATTTGCGGGGGGTGGGAACTGGATGGGAAAGCGGGGATATTCTGCCGAAGACACCCCGGTGTGCCTGCATCCACCACGGAGCGAACCGAGTGATCACGGAGGAAGGCCTCCAAGAAGGCCCGGAACCTCAACACTTGCAACATCTTTCAACCTTCGACGGTGTCCTAATTCAACGGTTTCTTGAAAGCCGACAATTCCAGGGGGCACACTCGCGGGTCGTCTCTTCGCGCGAGCCCAAACCCGACCTCGCACCCTTGCCCCACTCCTGGACAGGAGCCAGGGAGGGTGGAGCCAGGGAGGGTGGTTCGGAGACTTCTGAAAAGTGTTCAGCATCTGCTCTGCTTACTCCACGTCTATCTCGAAGAGTAACCGAGTTGGGGGTCAGAGGACGAGTGGTCACGAAATGTAACGAACCACAAAGGTTGCACTGGAGGGCCTCGCGAGCATAGATGCGGGCGAAGTTGGCCTCCGAGGCGCCAGGCACCTCAAGCGACAACCAACGGAGCAGGAAAGCTCCCGTGGAACTCCAGTGACCATAACATTAGAGAGCCCCCTTATTTTTCTTGCTGGCGTGGCCAAGCTCCAGACGGTGTCTGGCACTACCTCGGGTTCGGAGAGGAGATCCTATCTTCCATTCGGGGACACGCAAAGCACCCAGCCGCCCCAGCAGCAGCCCCAGCAGCAGCCCCAGCAGGAGCCCCAGCAGCAGCCCCAGCCTCCACGTCGTCACCTTTCAACTCGCTTCGAAAGTGCGCTGCATCGGCTCTGCGGCTCTCTTTGGCTGAGCTGACCTTGCACAATCGCCATCTCCGAAACAGAACAAAACAAGCGCAAACGCCATAATGAAGTAATGAAGAGTCTTAGGATGTCCTGTGGCATGGCCTGCACGGGGGGTCGAATCGGCCGTGCTGCGGCTTGAAGGATGGGCAGCCGGCGCCTCTCCTCGCCGCCCAACAGACTCAATGGAACACAGCGACAGAACACAAAAGGGCAACGCGACGGGCAACGCGACGGGCAACTCAACGGGCAACGCCGTGGCGTGCAGCGCAAACAGTCGTCCCTCTGCGCCTCGAGGTCGGGGCCGGGAAGGTCGGGAAGGCCGGGAAGGCGCCCGAGTAGGGCTCGCGCAGCCCTTTCGGCTTCTTTGGCCTTCCCTCCCTTTCCTTCCCTTCCTTCCCCTTCCCTTCCTTCTCCTTCCCTTCCTTCTCCTTCCCTTCCTTCTCCTTCCCTTCCTTCCCTTCCTTCTGCCGCCTGCACAGCAAAGCTCCGGCTTCGCGGCCGGTGCCTGCACAGTTGCAAGCACAGTCGGTGGCGCATGGACTCGCACAAACAAGGATAAACACAACGACCGATGCAGAGATCCACCTGAGAAGCAAGCACCCCGTTGCCACCGCTGTCAAGGGATGGTCCCTGCCTTGCAGGTATAGGCGCCCCGGCAGCTCTGCCTTACCCCTTTTGTTCCCTTTCTCCCCGTGCTTTCCCCCCCTGCCTGAGAACCTTGAGGATGCGCTCTTGGCCCCACTTGGCCAGGCCGGAAGTGCCGGCAAGTGCACCGGAGGTGGCACTTCCGGAAGTGCACTCGGCAGGCTCCAAGGCAGGTTCCAAGGGCGCAGCTGCCGCGGCGTCAGTGGAGTCAGTGGTCTGACTGTGACGCTTGCGACGCTCATCTCCCACAGCTCCTCAATCCTGCGGAAACAGAGTGTGGAAGGCCATGTGGGTCTGCAACACATACGACGACGAGCGACTGTCTCTTCGACCTCGGGTTTTGTGGTGGGCGCTCGGACGCGCAGAATCAGCCACTGGTAGGACGTCATGCTGGGGTGGGGCGGGGGGAGAAAGTTCAACAACCCCCGCAACGATACAGACTGAAGCCTCTGAAAAGCGAGGCCTGGCCTTGCAGTATCTTGTCATGTCGATCGCCTCGGAGCTGTGTGGACACAAACGGCGCATCCTGCTACATCTTTGTCATCTTTGCTGCAAGTCTTTCCCTTTGAGCTTTGCTCGTGGGGGGCAGCCCTTTGCCGCTCATACCGAGTGGCCTACCCTCTCCAAAACAATATTCCCTGCTACTTTCCGATATGCTCAGATTTCTAATCTGTACTACTGTAAAAGGGTGAGCCGTATGCTGTGCCTGTAACAAGTAGGCCCTACTTCTAAAGGGCGATGCGAGAAATGGCAGGCGGAAAGAAAACCCCACGCCTACTTCTGAGGGCGGTGCGGTACCAAAACTGCATACTGCAAGGAACGACTGACCTGCGAGATCTGTACTCGTTCCCTAGATCACAGGCTGCGCGAGACCGACTGTTCGCATTGGCACACTCAGCTTGCCTTAATATCTGGCAACATGCGCTTCCGCGTCGCGACGCACATCGCGAGGGTGACCGAGACGAGGCCAAGAAAGAGTGGGGCAAAGACAGCCAGGTCCATCACAGCAGGGGTCATGATGCCGCAGTGGCATACTTCACAGGTCCGCCATACCCCGTGCAGCAACGTCAGTTTCACCCTGCCGGCGTAGGACTGCGTGGGCAATCTGTACATTGTTAGTGCATGTAATTTTACGGTGCGACTTGGTCCACAACATGTATTTCTTAGATCGGTAGCAAAGTCCGCACTGCGTCAACTATTTGCCTGAAGCTGTATCTTGCAAGCGAATGAAATTATACAATGCTGCCTTTCATTATCTTCCAATATTCTAAGCCCCGAACCCCCTGACCTGAAAAACGCTGGCTTTTCAACCCCGTGCATCTTTCGTGGCAACCTTGGATCCCCAAAAGGGTGAGGGCGCCTCAGGGAACGAAGGTGTTCACGATGCCAGGGGTTCTTGCAACTTCAGCAACTTGAACCACACATAGCAACTACCTAGACCCATGAAAGCCCTTGCCCATCCTTGCCCTACCCCCCAAATACCGCACAGCCTACCGCTGCAGCTCTTTCAGTGTTGCTTGGTGCCTGACAGCGCCGTTCCGTCAGCGCCATCCGCCTGCGCGCAGAGGACTTTGGCAAGCATCTGCAAGCATCCTCTCTTCAAGCCGACCTGCTCGCGTTGACTGGCTGGCGCTCGTGTTTTGCCGAAGATAAGTGCGAGTCTCTGGGAAAACCACATGCCAACCGCAGACATCTTGGCCCCTTCAGCGCCAAGCTCGCGCGTCGAACGAGTTGAATGCATCGAATTCAGTGCCAAAGATCCCGTCAGCCACGGCCTCAGTGAACTCGAGAAACCAGCGGGTCTTCTTTAGGTTGTTTTTCTCCCTTTAGGGTCCGTTTGGACTCTGACCCGTAGAGAAAATGGGCAGTGACGCTTTATATGGCTTACCGAAAGGCGATTAGCGATTTTTCTGGAGTGTTCTGAAGTTCTGAAGCCGCGTCAGTGTTAAACCCGCTTTTACCTCGCTTACCGCTTTTCCCTGAGAACCTCCCTGAGCCGCCGGGCTTCTCGGACTGCGCGGCCCTGGGGTGGCCTTGGGCTGAGGCGTTCTGCGTTTAGCAATGCTACAAACTGAGGTCTTACGGTTCTCTCTCCCCTCCCCAAACAAAAGTAAGGTATCCCCAACAGCAGCAGAACAAAGGCCAGCTCGCGCTCCGAATCCAATAGCAGCTAGAGGTTGTAACAGGCACTCCGTGAGTGCGCACTCTTTCAGATCATGGGGCCTTGGCAGCTGCGACCTAGCCAGTATGCACCCGCGACAAACACAGGGCATGAATGGCCCTTGCCATGTGAACTCACCAACAAAACAGGGCGTGACCTACAAGCCGGGGTCTTGCTATGTGCACTCACGAAAAACACAAGGCGTGACATACAGGCTGGTGAACTCAAGAAAAACACCGGGTGTGACACAGAGGCTGGGGCCTTGCCATGTGAACTCGCGAAAAACACGGGGCGTGACATACAGTCTGGAGCCTTGCCATGTCAACTCACGAAACACGAAGGCGTGACATACAGGCCGGGGGCCCTGCTATGTGAACACACGAAAAAAACAGATAAAAAGAGGGCGTGACACGCAGGCCGGGCTCTTGCCATGTGAACTCACGAAAAACACAGGGCGTGGGGGCCTTGCCAATGTGACTCACGGCGTGACATACAGCTGGCGGGGCCTTGCCATGTGAAGTCACGAAAAACCAGGGGGTGACATACACCTCCCTCCTGGGCCCCTGCTGCGGGGCCCGCTCCGACCTTTTCCGAAGCTAAAAGGGCTGAAGACCCCAAAGCTCAATCTGTTAGGGAAAAACATCTGATGTGACGGCGGCTCTCCTCAGGCACTCCAAACTTCACCACCGGGCCGCAGGGTGCTCTACTTCTTTGCGCAATCTCCTTCAGCAGGTATGGTCCTGGCTTCGAAGGTGATGCTGTCTGCTCCGTGGTACTCCGTGGTAGTGAGTCTCAGTACATGTCTCAGTACATGTCTCAGTGCACTCTTTATCGCAGCTTGAGGCGCAACTTCGGATGTTTCGACTCGTAGTGCTGCTGAAGCCTCAGCAACATGAGGGGGGCGGGGGGGGGGGGGGGGGGGGGGGCGATCCCGGAAGCCCTCTCCCAAGTTTGGCTACATGGTTTTTTCAAAGAGGTCACCTCGGCTCCGCTCAGATGCTCGCAAAATCTCTTGGCCCCCTAAGACTCGGAAGGCTCTAAGCGCTGGGAAACTCGCTGTTGGATCCCCTCGGCACTCTTCGCAAACGTTGGGTCTAGGGTGCGGCACTCACCACCTTCTTTGAGGTTTGTGTTGTTCGTTGGTGTATTGATGCCGTGGAGGGTCCCGCCTGTCGGTGGCTCCTCCAGGGGGAGTGCCTCAAAACCCTCCCCCCCCCCCCCACCCCCGCCCCCTTTCATCTCACCCCCCCCCCCCCCCCCCCCCCCCCCCCCCCCCTTTAACCCCGCTGCCCTTCCTCCCCTTTTTTTGCGAAACCCTCTTTCCTCCTTTCCTGTCCTGGGGCAGGCCCGGCTGCCGAGGCGGCGCGCGCAAGCGTTTGCAATTACTAAGTGGTCCCACTGTCCCACGGTAAGGGCTCCGAAGGGCTGGGAAAAGGACTCCGAGTATGAGGGCTTGAATCGGGCGCAATCCTAAGCGACTAAGGGTGGGTGGGCCTGGGCCGAAACAAATCCAAGAGGCATCTTGTAGTTGGTGCTCTCTTGCAGGCCTCAAGCAGAGACACCACGTGTAAAAAAGGCGATTTCAAGATTAGGCGTTGAACATTCGCAGTCGGTCTGTCTCTCAGTAACCGATAACCCTGGGCCGCCAACACGCTGGGCACTGGAACTTGAGGCCGGCTTTCTGTGCCTATTGGAGTGGGAATGAGAGAAATCTCAACACGAATCTGGAGTCCAGCGGATAAACTACTAAACCATTCCACAAACAATCTTCAACACACTCTTAGACCAGGCGGGCTGCATCCAGTTGCGAGCCGGACTTCTTCATGGAAGCCTCCAGATCACAGGATACTGCATGTTCACAAGTGCCGCTTTACGTCCACTTCTTCACTCACCCTCCGCCGCCGCCCCCCCCCCCCCCCCCCGCCCGCGCGCCTGCTTCGCGGCATTCTTCTCTTGAGCCTGATCCGCAACATTGCGCAACAAAGCACAATTGTGAACGTCATGAGAGCCTAGCAAACTGTGGACAGCGCGGGTCATTCGTGGCTCTTGCCGAAACTATCCTCCATTCGGGGCGACTTTGCCGTGCCCTCTTAAGGCCCAGATTCAGGTCGCTTTTGACGGTCTGCATCGGTCTGCGCTCGCCGCCGCTCGCCGTGCACCGAGTTTTCCGTTGCTGGCGTCGCAGCGTCCGTGGCCGTCCGTGGTCTCAGCATCGCAGCTCCAAGTGCTCGAAGATGAGAATGGTTTCGGATGTGAGAGGTTGCTTGAGAAGTTGCTCAAACCTTTCAAGCAGCTCCTTGCGCAATCTTTCTCCGACATTCCGAAGCTGTACTCTGTTTTTGGGACAAGAGGGGCCTAATGATCCAACACGGTCCGCGGGGCCTGCTGCTTGGCATGGCCGCGGACCATGATCCAGAGAGCCTCTCGAAACATCGCACCACCAAGAGCCGCTTCGCAACATCGCAGCAACAGACTCAACAGACCGCCCCAAAGTATCCTGAGCCAAGGACTGCTGGACTTTGCCTCCCGTTCGGCCAGTGACCGGTAGTCAGGAGCACTGCTTCAGTGCTGTCCGAGCCAGAAAATTTTGCAAAACGAAGCACAGAATTCTCTATCAACCACTGCATGGTAATCGCAGCCTTAGTATCTCAAGGCCCAGGTTGATTTGCCGCAGCGTGCAAGAAGGGGAGGCCTGGCAAGAAGATCCAGTTTGGCCAACCACGCGGCAAGTGCCAGCGGAGGCTCTCGAGCCATGTTCGGCTGCAATCTTTGGTAGAGTCCCATGCGCGGCTGTAAACTTCAAAATACTTTAAAACATGGTCAGCAGTCGTGGGCAGCATCTAGCAGCGAATCTAGCAGCATCTTGCACGTTGCAGCACCTGGAGCATCTCTCGCAGGAAAGGACTTCTGCGGCCGCCTCGGGTACATTCTATCCCACATCGCCCTCCCCCGCTCCCCCAAGGCCCACCCTCGTCCCATGCCCCAGGCGCCCCACCACATCATCCGAGGATCCTGCGCAGGGTACGGGGAACAGACAAAGTTGACAATGTGCCACGCAAAGTGGATACAACAGACTCTGAAAAAAGTCACCAAGAATCCGCCTACTCTCACGAATCCTTCCCTTTTTCCACCCCCTTCAGCTGAAAGGGCCGCACCCCCATTTTCCCCCATCGTCCGCGCCTCCTTAGTGAACTCGGCCGCCGGAAAAGGCCGGTAGGAGTTGACCTTGCGGTTTTCTTTGTCAGCCGCTTTCTTGCATTCTCTGCTCTTCAATTATTCCTTCTTTCTCTCCCTCACTTGCGCTCTATATCTACTGATCTCCTTCCCCTCCTTCTTCCTCTTTGCAGGCTTTGGGGAGCGGGGCTGCCCGAAAAGCAGTCGGTTCTGTCGGACAGCTTCGGGAAAGCCAGTGGCACAACCCCTCACATGAAGATCCCTTCTCCCCCTTTCCTTGCCATTCGCCCCCGAGTCGAAGAACAAGAAGTGCCTAACGCGCTGAAACAAAGAGAACGTCCAGTCTCTGCAGGAACGAAAAGGCCACGACTTCTGAGGGCGGCGCGGAACAAGCCTACCACTGCGTATGAGGGCGGCACAAAACCTAAGGCCAAAAACCTCCGATCACCAGCTCTCACGGTCCCTCCCGATGCACAAACTGCATGTGCCCTTCGGACCTCAATACGAATAGAGTATCTTTCAATTATTGTTCATTGTCGTTGGGGCTTGAGGGCAAGGGCCCAAACCCGTCCCCCGTGCACGCCCGCGAACAGTGCGTACTAGCAGCTTATGGAGCACAGGTCACAATTTGCATCAGATTATCGTAACATCACCTATACTTTCTCTCTCTTTCTCCCCGCCTGTCTCTCCTTCCTTCTTTCCTTCCTTCCTTCCTGCCTTCCCTCACTCCCTCCCTCCCCCCTTCATTCCTTCCATTGAGGCACGTGCAACTAACAGGGCAGCCGGAGTGAGATGAAGTGAGGCTTAGCTGCTTAGCCGACTTAGCACCACGTAGTTCAAGTCTTGTCGTCTTCTACTTTTCCTGGGGGCTCCCGGCGAACATGGCGCCGCGTAGGCGGCCAGGACCCGATCCCACCACGGCCTCTCTTCTTGTCAGCACGATTCTGCTTGAAAATGGTATGGCGTGGGCGAGAGCGTGTGCAGCCGTGTGCAAGGGCAACAACTTCAAGAGTTCTCCGAGGGGAACCCATGACGGAGGGCACCTCGGCGCCTTCCCGGGTCTCCCGGTCTCTCCGCAGCTCCGTGGCGCTCGAGGAGCCTAAGACTCAGGGTCACAGCAAAAGCGGGGCAGGTCGTGTTGGAGCATCTTAAGGAGCATGGTTCAGATGATCCGTATCAAAGACAAATTCCAAAGACCTCCAGAGGCCAGGACCCATCATCCGACCGGCACGCGGCTGGCCGTCGGCCTGCCCGCGCTTGCCGCGAAGCACAAGTCATCTGCACGTTGAACCGCTACTGCATCTTCCCAACACTTCCCAGGTTAAGGCGGCGACGTGCAGAGGCGGCCTGGGCGAGGAGCCATAGATGCCATCTTCAGAGCTGAATTGCACATTTGGGTTGTAAGCGGCACGCAGGCTGGCACGCTCTCCGATGCGCCGCCTGCAGTCCGCTCTCAAGTTTGACGAAAAACGGGGGGGGAGCCTGGGAGCCTTCCCCTTTTGCTCTCTCTTCTTTCTCTCTCTTCTCTCTCTCTCTCTCTCTCTCTCTCTCTCTCTCTCTCTCTCTCTCTCTTTCTCTCTCTGAATGAAAAGTGAGGACTCTCTCTTTCCGAAGGCCTCGGCGCTTCGGGGGACCTTCTCACCGGGCATGGAGGAGAGAGGCTCAGAGAGAGGCAAGGACACACAGAATGACATGCTCCTTTCATTCTAAAGAGCAATTTCAATTGCTTAACTTGCATTGATGAATCAATTATATTTAATTTGCATTAGTTTCAATTAATTTGCATTCATCTCCCCGTCTCGTGCCGTGCACTCCCAGCCTGCTCCTCGCTTTGGGCCCATTCGGGAACCTGAGACGCCCCGCTTTTCGAGCACACCGTGTACGCGACTTTTTATCTGTATGAAGTGGAATACTTGTATAGAGTCTGTGGTTTTAGGATCTGGGGGTTAGTTTGCTTGGGGTTTGAGCCAAGCGGGTCAGCCGGGTTTAGTTCGGAGAGGGGTTTAGTGGGTGAGGGCTTTTGATCACAAAAGGCACAATGGCGTACATGCCATGTCATACCGCACCGCACCGCGCAAACTACATCACCAGACCATACCAATATCCGCATACATATTTCATATCTATTTATTGTAAGCAACGTCCGAATGGAAAAAACGCTGGATTGTACGAGACAGGTGGCGTTTGTGCGGCCCCCGGAGGAAGAGACCTCGGCAATGCAATCCGCGGTTTGGGATGTTTACGGAAATGGTTCCGGAAAGCCGGAGAATTATGTGGCTGCTTCGCTCAGCCACATAGCCCGAAGCATAAGCATCTGACTTCCATGAAGGAGCCCGAGGCTCACCCCAAGTGACCACAGAGAGAGCGATCTGGCCTCGGCACAAAGCTGAGCAGGTGAGCATGAGAACCATAAGCCTTCTGAAGCCTGAAGCCCTTCTGAGACCTCATCAAGGGCCTGGGCCGTTTTGTGCAGGCCGAACGTTTTCGATACGAAGCTCCATGGCCTTGAGAAATTGAGCTGAGCTGCGTATCACAAGAGCCACTCCGGGGATGGTCGAGAGGGTGCCGCGTTCGGCAATAACGGCTATCAGCGACAAGAAAGGAAACCGCTTTTGACCACCATTTGAAAGTCGAACAGGCCCTGCTGTTTGCTGCGACATGTAATTGCCTTCCGTTGCGGGCTGAGTGCATTCGTTGAACTGCAACGAATGACACAATGCCGAGAGCGAGAGAGAGGTATCTTGTCAAGGAGGGGGATCAAGAGGCTGAGGAGGCCGGAGCTTTGGGCTTCATTTATGAGCTCGCTGTTGTTTCCGTTATTCGATCCAGATGCTTCATGGCTCTTTCAGATGCTCCGCCCCTTGACCTTCTTAAACCTTTTAGCTCTTCATTGCGGCTCCGTTTCACGCTGTCCCACGTGAGTCGTCTGAAACATGCTTTCACATTCTTCGGCCGTTGCAGCTTGCTGCTCCCCAAAACTGTACCTCAAAGCATCCTCAAGGAGGACTCCATACTCCAAGGCTCCAAGGCATGGCCCTGCAATTTCCATCGAGCTCGCGGTCACATGCGGTCACTACGTGGATTGTGCAGAGTGAGGGCAGCGAAAACTCCCTGATTAGGGAACAGCCCGAACACTCCCGAACACGCCCGAAAACTCCGATGTCGGACCCAGAGAGACTTTCCAAGAGCTTTTCGTAATGCCCCCGTCCCAGTCCCATTCCGTCCCGGCATATTGTGTCGTCGACAGTTCGCTGAGACGAGTGGGGTCTCAGAGTGAATATGGTTGACACTGTTGACACGGTTGAGCCTGTTGATTAAACTGGCGCCTGCTGTGCCGTCGGGGACAGAGATCGCGAAGGCGGACCTCGAATGATTCGAAGTGTGGGGGGAACAGTTCAAGGGCAGGGCAACAGGAATGAACCCAGTTCGTACACAAGAAACAAAGGTCAAGATGCAGCCAACTTCTCTCCTCTCTCCATAGCTCCCTACTGCTCCGCTCCGAAGGCTTCGCTCCGGACTTCCAATACAGCCTTCTCTCTCTCTCTCTCTCTCTGTGTTTCTCTCTCTCTCTCTCTCTCCATATTTTCTCTCTTGCTTTGTACGTCTTTCCGCTCTGGGGCTTCTGAGGCTCCCGGGACTGTCCAGGACTCCCGGCTTGCGGACCGCTTCTGCGAGCTCAGGGACTCCGTACTCTGCGTGCGATAGTAGGCACCATAGACACCACCTTTCTGCACTTCCGACTCACAGTGCAACCAAAAAATGCCGTGCCCAACACAAGGCACGGCTCAAGCAAGTTGTTCACGCTAACGCTAAAGCGCTGCCTCAGCTTTCCTACTTGTCAGGGTGCTAGAAGGCTGGTCTGCTGGATCCCCTTGCACTTGGCACTCTGGGCAAACTGCGGTCTGGGGAGGGCGATCTGGTGGCCGGCCTCAGCGCTTCCGTGAGCTTGCCAACGTGTTTGCCACGTTTGCTGCGTTTGTTGCAGTGCTTTCAAAAGCCAACGAACTGTTTGTTGCCAATGCTGCTTCGTCGCAGAGATGCCGCAGGCATTTGCGCAGGGATCTGTCGCAGCTGCAGCTGTGCCAGAAAAGAACTTAACGAGGAAACGCTCGAGGAAACACACTGACCGCGAAGCATGTCTCTTGGCCTCCACTGCATTGCCACAGTTCCTCCCAAACTGCACATCAGTGACATACTTCACAACATGCTGTGGGCTTGGCACCTGCAGTAGATCTGGCCAGTGTGGTTGGCCCGCCCTTTTGGATCCTGTGGGGCAAGGTGCGATGCAGACGATACATATGTCGAGGGGTGTGTAATTTTGCTCTCTGTAGATCGAGAGCGAGAGAGCGAGAGAGAGAGAGAGAGAGAGCAAGACAGATAGAGAGAGAGAGAGAGAGTGGAAGCAAAAGAGAAACTCTTCTCGCCGGAGGGAATGTGGGCTTTCGTGCGCCGCCCGGCCTGGGCGCGCTCGGGCGACTCCCGGCGCCGGTAGGCCTGCTTGGCCTCCAGGCTCGCGCGGGCAATAAACAAAATCAAGTCTCGTGTGTTTCTTCTGAGATTTCGGAGAAGCGCACACATAAGTATGCACATATACATATACATATACATATACATATGCATGTACATGTACATATACATACACATGTGTATATGTATATGTGTACGTATGATACATGTGATATACTCTCATATAGTATGTATGTACGGTGTTTTCGAAGGCGGTGGGGGGCAGTGCAGCCCATGGGGGGTCGCTCTTTTTGCCAATCAAAGGCGGCGCGGTCCCAGGCCACAGGTCTCCATCCATTCCGATGCCTCTGCAAGGCCTGAGAAGAGCACAACGAAACAACAAGGAGAAAAGGAGGCGTAGAAAAAAAGTACCCCTTTAAGGTTGAATTGAAGAGGCTCTGGGGCCGCCGAAAACGCGAAAAACTCAGGAAGCCGCTGACCGGACGGTCCAGCCAGAAGCGGGTCAAGACATTCACCTGTGAAAGGAGAGGCAGGCGCAAAAGAACGAGTGCTGCAAAGTTGAAACATAGCATCGCATCTACGAGAAAAATACACAGAAACATGCTGCACGAAAGGCACGATCGGCACCTGCTGGACAGCGACCTCCTCCGTCCCACCAGCACGGAGGTGCCCAAGCCAGTGAGCCAGAACCTCAACCTTCAGTGATTTGAGCGCGGAGTCCGGAGCATGCGCTGCAGTTCAGGGAAGGCAATAGATGCCAATAGACCATGAAAGGCTCTATGCTCTTGCTCCAGATCTCCCCATCGCATCCTACCCAAAAAAAACGGCCAAACGCCGCAAAACGCCGCAATGAGACGGCCGCGTTCTTGGGCTGCTCCTTGCTCAGGGCACGTGCGAGCGCGACATGTGCAGCAGCAGCTGCCGGCATGTCCTCAAGCACGCTGAGATACGTCGAGGGAAGGCAACTCGAACGTTTAACAGTTTAGCTTGTAACAGTTTAACAGCATAGAGACGCAGACATAGAGAGACAGAATCCGCAGAAGAAACCCGAGCACATCGTCAGCCAACGCTCAGAGAAATGCGTGCGATTCTTACCGAGGTTCGCCCAAGCATCGCGCGGCGCGCAGCTGCAGCCGCAGGAACCTCCAGCAACTACATTGCGTCATATCTCAAAACGATGCAAGTTCCCGAAACTCCACCCAATTAAATTTCCCACCGAGGACGTTTGTTCAGCCTCGAAAGGCGTTTTGTGGGCAGGGCACATGCGTGACATTGTGTGACCCCCTCACATCAAAAGAGATGGAGGCACTCCGCTACTGCTGGCGCCGCGCAGCTTGACAACTCGGCACACCTCGCTGCAGAGGTGCACAGCAGAACAAGTGGTTTATGCATCTCACAACATCTCACAAAGTCTCACAACATGTCGCAAGGTTTCACAAGGTGCTCCATTCGGGGAAGGGGCGCAGATTTTTCCATCTGCCCAGTGCCAAGTCTTGCAACGTGCAGGGAACACTGTGTCAGAAAGAAATCGAGGAGATGTGAGATTCGGAACACAAGTTCATACGAGTTTTGGGATAACGGAACTCGTCGTGAGATGGCACTCTCAGCTTCACTCTCACTCGATAGCACAGAGTGCAGTACTTTTACAAAGGCTGAGCAGCCTGTCGACAGGATGCTGCACAATTTCTGAGCTGGACAATCAGGTACCTGCAGACGCCGCTTACATGCGGACTGGCTACAGGCTGCCCGAGTCGAATCGCAGGTGCAACTTGTCATGGCTTCCTGCTCACTGGCTCAGGATCCAAACAGCTTCAACGGCACGCAGCTTAGTAGCTTCTTGGGCTATAGGAGCTCACTTGTTACTCAATCACTTGATGCACAAAGAAGTCACAGTTGTGGCTCATGTAAGAATCACTGATGAGCCCCGGCCAGAGCTGTGAGCTCAAAAAGTAGAGGGTGCGCGGCGGGGCAGAAGCACAAGGTGCAACGCCACCCCACCGCTCACCCTTTTCGACTTTTCACAAGCCAGCCATCGTCAGCCTTGTGCTTGAGTGTCAGCCTTGTGCATGGGGCGCCATGGCTGGCAGCAGCGCTCTCACTTCTGGTCACCCCAACCCCCCCGTTCAGCCCTCAGCTCTCCAGATTTCTCAGTTCGCCTCGACCACAAAGACGGGCCCGAAGCAGATGCCGCCGCTTCCCAAGACCCACGCCGAGCGCCCCTGGGCGGCCTGCGAAGGAGAACACGGACTGAAGAGAGGACTGAAGAGGCCATCCCATTTCCAATTAGCGCGGCTTAGCGGTTTGTTCCCCCATGTTCGCTCAGATGCTCGACTTCAGTGCACAAATTGAGGGTTGATGTGGTGCTGGAACAGTGAGAATCGGGCTGAGTTGAGGAGCGGCGGACGCAAAATAATGCGGGCAAATTCGCTCGATCTTTGGCCGACAGGCATCTAAAACAAGCAGACCAGAATCTGGACTCCTACCCCTCTTCCCAACCCTTCCCCCCCACGTACAACACCGTTGCAAGGGTGCGATCACTGGGAGTCCCCTCACGCAAGGACGGACCTGCCTGGGACCCTTTGTGAGGGTATCGCATGTGAAAACTCGTACGTGTCAAAAGATGCTTGTTTAAGCATGTCGTTCTGGAAACTCCCCCAGCCAGACCCAAACCATGGTTTCGATTTGGAACTAGGACCACTTTCAAACTTTTCAATTGCTAAGTATTACCTAGAAGATACAGCTTTGCAAGTGCTTCTTGCAGGCGGACATAGGCGCATAGAAACATGGATACAAGGATAAATGGCACACGGGTATGCACGGACAAAAAACACATATACATATTGTAGACAAAGGTATGCTTGGCTGACTTCTGAACCTGGCCCTAAAAGTTTTACTTTTACTTACTGTAGATTCTTCAACAACCCCACCCACCCCTCCACCCCAAACCCCCCCCCCCATGATCTAGGCTTTCGGATTAGATCCAAAGTATGTCCTGGGGAATACAAATGGAAGCACATTCGCAGAACGTTCGGGCACATATGGAGCGTATGTGGCGCGAGAACAGATGCTCCACGTCTCCAGGTTGTGGTGAATGAGCTGAGCGCTTGCAAATACTTGATCATGATGTTGTGTGACCATGCTTCATTTCTATCGTGACTCAACTCTTCAACCTTCAGGGGCTGGCGTGGGGACCGCGCCATTTGTGCCTTCGTTGTTACATTCGTTGTTCGTGGATGTTCGATCAGAATACCGCACCCATCCGACTCGAGCATCGTCCAGGTGAATCGCTTGTCGCGGATTGCCTCCCCAAGGTGCTCCCAAGGCTCGCAAGGAGGCTCAAGAAGATGCGGCTATTGTTGCAAATCAGTGAGCGACGAATACTTGATGAGCAAGTCCTGGACATGGGTGTTTTCAGGAAGACATGACACAAATCATGGAGCCCCATAGAGCACCCTAGTCGCAACATGGGACCATGCATGACAGGCCACCGAAGGAATAATTCAGTGGACCAAGAACTTGCAATGTTGGGAATGCGGATCAATGCTCGGAAGCACTTGCGACAAGGAGGAGTGTTGTTGAATGCCGATTGCCCCTGTGCAAGGACGACACGCTTATCTGTGCACCCAGAGCCTAAGCACAAATTATTTCCACTTCGCTTGCTCTCACCCACTCCTTCAGCCGTGTAACAGACACTCCTGACCATCTACATGCTTTCTCTTGTTGGTTTTCCTCATTACATGTGCTCTTGTATGCATATACCGTATGATTGTAGACCGCACCAGAGATGCCGCCACTCATGCTCACGCTCTGCCTCCAGTTCCATGCAGATTTGGATCACCTCCCCGAGGCGATGGGTGTCCAGCACAGTCTGCAATCTTATATGGGATCTCTACTCAGACAGCAACTACGGATCTTTCGCCGGCAAGGCGTGGCCTCTCCAGGCTCGACGCTGCCCAAGGGCAGGGACGCGCATCCGAAACCGCTGCCCAGGCAGCACTGGAGCGAACAGTCCTGCCAGGAGCATTCGGCAGGAGGCGTTTGGAAGTCACCGCAACGGCAGCATTGGGGTGCTTGTTTTTTTGGGTCTCCTCGGGCCAGGGCAGCGTGCTTTGGTTCTGGACGAGGAGCCGCACCACCTCGGGGGAAGGCACGCGCTCGCAGCTCCGCCTCCGTTCACGCCACGTTACGGTACGTTCGTGTCTTGTCGTGCATATTCCTGTGTGTCGTGTAGTAGTACAACACTAACTATGTTTATGCATTTTCCGTACTGAAGGGCTTCATACATATTGCACATATGCATATGCATATATACATATATATATATATATGTATAGCACATACTTTAAAAAGGAAGCTCTGTCTATCCTCCGCCCTCTCTGGGAGGCCGCGCCCAGGGCGCCGCCTTCAGCGCCACGGAGCCCAAGGAGACCAGGCCGCTCCGCTCCAAGCGCTCCGGGTAAGACACCTCTTCTTCTCGCTTGCATTTCCTCTTTCTTTTCTCCTTCATGTATCTACTTGTGCATGTATGCATTTATCTATCGATCGATCTATCCTATCTCCGCACGCTTAGCCCCGCCGAGCTGCCCCTAGGGGCACGCAAATCCCAGGAGTCATGTGGTCCTTTTGGGGCGGCGGTTTTCGCCGCCGGCTGGGGATCTCTGTCTTAGATTGGGGTGGTTCAGGCCCAGGACACTAACACAGTGTGCCGCTACATCGATCTATCTCTCTCTCTCTCTCTCTCTGCACGTTAGCGCCCCCGAAGGGGAGCTGCCTGGCAGGGCGCGCAAAGTCCGAAGGTGCGTCTTTCTATCGATGCCTCTCTCTCTCTCTCTCTCTCTATCTCTTGTTTTCTAAAGCGGGGGTACACTAGGTACACCACTCTTGAATCCATCTCTACCGCTCTGTCTCTCCCCCTCTCTCCTTGTCTGAGACTCTCTTAATGTGTACTCTCTTTTGTGCGCAGCGAGCCTTGCCTCGGCATTGCCGAACAGGTGCTCGTGCATCACGTAACCCGCCGAAAGCACCGAAGGGGCCTCGGGCGCCACCTCAGCCTCCGCGGGAGCGTCGGGAGCCTCAGATTTGGCCTCGCGGGCGGGCGAAACGGAAGTGGCAATGAGAGCAACTTTGCGCAGCGTGCAACTTGCGCGCGCTATGTTCCAAACACCATCAGGTCATGCAGCAATGCACCCTTGCCATGCCTCGCCTCTTCGGAGATGATGGAGAAGCTCTCCGTCTCCGCAAGCATCCAATCCTCAAGGCATCAGAGAGCGAGTGCGAGCAGGCTGGTAGGCGGGCTCAGCACGTAGGCCTAGCAATAATCCCCGCACTTTTTCATTTAGTTGCGAGCTCGGACCGATGACCGAGGCCATGACCATGAAGGGAAAGTCGCTGACGTGGAACTGGGAGTGAAGAGAGACAGCTCACGAACAAAAAAGCAAGATCGCAGGATCACTCGCATTTATCTTCACGTGGCCTCAGCCGCAAGCACCTGCCAGGGCCAGCACAGGGCAGGCAAGGACGGAATGCGCATGAAATGGTGAGAATATGTGAGAATGGCTATAAGCGCTGAGCATGTGCTGAGCATGTGCCGAACACGAGCATGTGCTTTGAAAGAGCGCTTGCACCTCCCCGAAATCTGGAACCTCACGGGCTGAGGAGGTTCAGGAGACCGACTGCCGAGGAGTCTCCGGTGGCTAAACATGCTAAATGCACACGCGGTCACATTCGGCAACTGCGAGGATCCGCATACTTGCTGCACTCTGTCTAATTCGACTATGCAGAGAGAGGTGCAGAAGGGCTGGTCACCGCCCACATGGCACGGAAGCATCCCTCCTGCAACCGGCGATGTGTACAAACAATTCATGCCTTACAAGGGCAACACAGGTTTAAGAATACAGAAAGCAACACACGCTTTCTCGGCCATGGCTTCCGCTCCTTCTCGGGCATGAGCGCCTGGACCTGCGTAAGCCGCTCACTTTCTGTGAGCGCATGCACACGGGGCAGGCTCTCGCAGAGGCATTGCATGCGCTTGCGGGGGCGCGCACGCGCGCCAGCGCGAGCAAGAGAGAGCAAGAGAGAGCAAGAAAGAGCGAGAGAGAGAGAGAGCGAGCGCGCCTCCAGGTCGACCGTGAAGCCTGAGAATAAAGAATGACGAATTCGAAGCTGACGCGCGACACATGGAGAGAGAAAGAGAGAAAGAGCAAGAGAGAGAGAGAGAGACTTATAAAACCACACATAATAAAAACGGCAAGCGCTCGTCCAACGCACCGTCACACCCGTTGCCCGGGCCTGGCTTCATGCCCGGAATCGGGATGTCCGCCGGAAGGTGCTCGAATCCCGGGGTGTTGTAAAAGAGGCGGCAGCAAGCATCCCTTGCTTGGCGGTGCTGGCACATTTGGCACGCGCACGAAGCAGCACCTGCAAACACCACAAACGGCACCAACGCCGCAAAGCTCGTAGGTTCCGGGCGCGGGCCAGTCGGCTTGGCCAACATTGGCCAGGGTCCAGGTCAGCGCCTTCACCTCCCCTTGCAGCGCCTCCATACCTTGACTGGAGAACCCCGAGAACCCAGAGCAGTTGGCAACTCTTGACATGGAGGCTGCTGACATGGCCGGACCTTTTGGGTGTGTCACACGACTCCCCATTGCGAGAATGCGCCGAGTTGCTGTCATCCGGAGCCTCAATGAGGGGGAACTCGGGGACCCCATGTCACAAGCAGAGCAATATGAGCGCACAAGCTTGGCAAAGTATGAGAGACATGCATACATACATAATATACATATAGTTAATATAGTTTGCCTTGCGTCGCAAGCTAAACGGTTGGAATGAAGCCGCTGCACGTTCGGCAAGTCTTGAGGCCGGGGCTGCGTTGAGTGCCGATTCCCAGGTGTTCCGAATTTGCTATGATTTGCTTGTTTGTTTTTGCAATTTTGGGGTTTGGGCGGTCCTCCAGCATTGGGTTTTTGGGACATTGGGGCATTGAATTGCTTGTGGTTTCGCACAAGTCACACGGACGTCATCATCGTGTGGACATAGATGCTCGGGCACATCTATGTCCACACCGACGCTATCATCGTGCGGACATGGATGCTCCATTCGCACGCGCTGGTCACACAGACGTTATCATCGCGCAGACATGGACGCTGTGTCCATTCGCACGCACTGGTCACACAGACGTTACATGGCGCGGACATGGATGCTCTGGCCACTCGCACGCACTGGTCACACGGACGTTATCATCGGGCGGACATGGATGCTCTTGCCATTCGCACGCACTGGTCACACGGACGTTACATGGTGCGGACATGGATGCTCTGGCAGGCCATTCGCGCGAACTGGTCACACGGTCGCTATCATCTGACGGACATGGATGCTCTGGCCATTCGCGCGCACAAGTCACACGGACGTCATCATCGTGGACATGGACATGGATGCTCTGGCGATTTACACGCATGGTCACAAGTTATCGTCGCGCAGACATGGGAAAACTCTAGAAGGGTAGGCTCCGCCTGGTTGTGGTGATTCATGATAACTCGATGAATCGTGTTTCAGCAATCGTTTCACCCATCTACGAAATCTGTGAATTTTGCTCCACATCATCCTGCCATCCAAATCAAGCAACTGCTGTTGCGTGTCGACTCCGTACGCAGAAGATGGAAGGGGATGGAAGCCGAAATGAAACTAAACAAGTTTGTGCACGGCAGAGCACGGCGTTTAGCAAGCACTGGTCTGTCCCACCCTGAACCCGTAGCCCCTACCTCCCTACACCCAATGCCCAAACACCCATAGCAGCATACCCCCACCTAACAATGTATTCTGGAGGGGGGGAGGGGGGGGGGGGGGCACCTTGACTTCATACATTACCCAGGGTGGGTTCATGTATTCTGGCGGGGGTTCGGTTGGGGAAGTTCGTGTGTGTGTGGCGGCAAAAACAGTCGCAGCCTTAAACAGATAGGCAAATCCCATACAGAATATAGCAAAAATCCCAGAACTAGGAAATATAATACACCACGACACAAAATAGCAATAATCCCCAACATACGTCAGGCACTTTTCTTAACAAAACCACTCGCAGCCTTAAAAAGATAGGCATCCGGTACAGAATATAGCCGAAATCCCAGAACTAGAAAATATAACGCACCACGACACAAAATATCAATAAACCCAACATACGTCATGCACTTTTCACACCGTCGCAGCCTTAAACAGATAGATAACTCCCAGAACTAGGAAATATAAAATCACCACGACACAAAATATCAATAATCCCCAACATACGTCATGCACTTTTTAGCAAAACCACTCGCAGCCTTAAAAAAAATAGGCAAGTCCATACAGAATATAGCCGAAATCCCAGAACTAGGAAATATAATACACCACGACGCAAAATATCAATAATCCCCAACATACATCATGCACTTCTCTTAGCAAAAACACTCGCAGCCTTAAAAAAACAGTCGCAGCCTTAAACAGATAGATAAATCCCACACAGAATATAGCCAAACTCCCAGAACTAGGAAATATAAAATCACCACGACACAAAATATCAATAATCCCCAACATACGTCATGCACTTTTCTTAACAAAACCACTCGCAGCCTTAAAAAGATAAGCAAGTCCAATGCAATCCACGAGCAAATTGTTCAGGTCACTTCTGCTGGAATGAAATTGATATGGGAGCTCCCCAAGAAAAAACGACCGCGCGTTGCGGGATCTTGGAGGGAGGGGAGAGATAGGGAGAAATACAGAATATTCTATGAATTCAGCCCAAAAAGGGTAGGTACATGGGGGGGGGTAGCATATATATATATATATGTATACATGTATATATACATATATACGTATATTGATCTTGTATGTTTTTCGTCATATATATATATATATATATATATACATATGTGTGTATATATGCATGTATTCATAGCAGATGGCAATGTGTCGATAAACATGTCCAAGTACTGCGCTGTACATGCGTTTAAGCTGAGCAACAGCCAGGATTCCACAGAGAGGAGGAGGGCTCTGAGGGCTCTCCTTCTTGCCGACGCTGAAGCCCAGGAGCTCCCCAAACGGCTTGCCACAAGGGGTGACCAAGCAGTAGTTGGCCTACAAGGCGCAACACAAAAAAAGGACAAAAGGCTCTGACACGACAGACTCCCTCTTGGGGCATCGTCTCCCGGAGTCTCTCTCCGCCTCCAGGACCTGGTCCTCGCAGAGGAACTCTTTTGGAGTGTACGGGGGGTGTTAGTGTTAGTTACTGTTAGTTACTGTTAGTTCAAGTTCTCTCCAAGCTTTTTTCCACCCCGCTGCCCCATCCTCTCCCCCATGCGGTCCTGGTCGTTGGTGACCTTCCGGTCACGCAGCTGAGAGAGGACTTGAACATCACTTCAAAGCGACTCAAGCTGACTCAAGCCCCCAGAGTTTGCAAGCTCTCTGCTCTCTCCAGCCTCCATGGAGAGCTCCACGGTTTGGCCCGGCTGGGCCGAGGGCACCTCCAGCACCGGGTTCGCCAGGACCGGCCCCGACACGAGGCCTCACGCATCTGCAACGAAAGAGAGAGAGAGAGAGAGAGAGAGACAGAAAGAGAGAGAAAGAGAGAGAGAGAGAGATTCAGCGAACGCTGGTACTCAGTTACTCAGTTTTACAGAGTGAGAGGAGAAGAGGGGAGAAGATAGAAGATTGCCAGAAGGTCTGACGGTCTGGGAAGCCCTGACGCAGCGTGGTGCCGGCGGGCCAGGGGACGGCGCCGTCATTGGCAAGGACCCAGCTCACGGTGTCACCTCTCCAGACAGGAACATCCTATCTTAATAAGACGAACTACATAAGATGAAAATAAGAAGAAGAAGAAGAAGAAGAAGAAGAAGACTAAGAAGAGGAATGAAGGTGACAAGGTCGAAGCTTGCAACTCAGCTCGTATACAACCATATGAAGAACACAGCCCGCCCAACCTGGAGCCACCGGCACAGCGGTGTTTTGGCCGCTGAGGAGCTTCGAGCTCAGCATGGCAGATTGAGGAAGCGGGTGATCTCGAGAGACGTTTAGACGTTTATCTGTTCTTGGGCCAACGGCTGTCCAACAGCTCCCTGCTCCGCTCTCCTCTCGCTCCCTCTCGCTCTCTCTTGCTCCCTCTCTCTCTCTCTCTCTCTCTCGGTGTTCTCTGTTTGTGTCTGCCTGTGTGGGCGTGTAGTCACGCACACGCGCATGCTCTCAAGGTGCTGTCGGCTGTAGCTACGGGCCACACTGGCCTGCGCCGATGGTCAGCTACGCGGAGGCTCAGGACCTGCAAGCTGAAAAAATCACAAGACACTCCAGCAGATCGTCATAGCACACCATGGCCTACCCTGAAAGGCGTAGATTCATTAAGGGGTTGCTGCACCTCTGTCCACAGGTCGTGTGCCTTTTGGCTCTCTTCTTCGTGCAGCGCCACAGTAGCCACCTCGACACAAAAGTTGCCCCGCATTGCTGCACAAGGCCGAGGGCGCATCCTGGCAACGCACCTCCATCTTGGCGCGAGCCAGCGACCTCTGAGACAAGCAACGGATGGCGCTCTGCATGTTTGGCGCGGTGTGGCGCGGTGTGGCGCGGTGACGGCTGAGCCACGCTGAGCCCCCCGCAGGTTTTCCTGCAGGACCTCTGGGAAAAACAAATGGGCGCTTCAACATGTCGGGACAAAATCTTGGCCCAAGCAGGTGTTTTTTGCCTTTAGAAGATTGTCATAATGAACAGGTCGTGAGTTGTGAGTGCTTCTCTTCTTTGGGGGTGGTTGGGGAGCCGGCCTGGTGGAGCCCTCCCACAGCCGCCTTCTTCTGGAACCTGAAGCCGCGGCACTTTTGTCCAGGTCTGGATCACCTTGTGCCTGGGAGCGAGGCGCCTCATCGAGGTTCGGTTCAGGGACCCCGCAATGCCTCGCAAGGCAGATTTGCCAGCGCGACGCTGCCTTCTAGCGGAGACTCGCTTTTCACACGTGTTGCACGGGGTCTCTGAGCGCGGGGAGGCTTCGGTAGCGGCGCAGCGAAGGTAGCGGCGCAATGCGGCGCATTGCGGGGCCCCGCCTCAGGACCGCCCTTCGCACCGAGAAGCTGGCCGAAGGCGGGCCTCACATCACGAGGAGTCGAGATTGGAGCAGTATTGGAGCCGATTAACGGGCCTTCTCAGAATTCTTCGACTTTTCCACAAGCGACAAACTCCGTCAAAATCGCCCCACCCCCCCCCCCTTTCGGGTAAGAGTCCGGACAGTACGAGTGGACGCACTCCTCTCGCGAGCGAGCCCCCTAACTATTGAGAGAGCCCTTCCCAAAGAGAACTACGGAATCTACCGAATGTAACACAGAATAAAGTTCAGAGCAGGGGGGTTTTAAGGGAATGAAGGGAATGCACAGAGTGTCTCCTCTCCTGCCTCGATGCCCTTCAAGGCTCGCATGAGGATGACCTCTCTCTCTCTGTCTCTCTCGCGCTCTCCTCCCTCTCCCTCCCTCTCCCTCCCTCTCTCTCCCTCCCTCTCCCTCTCTCTCCCTCTCTCTCCCTCTCTCTCTCTCTCTCTCTCTCTCTCTCTCTCTCTCTCTCTCTCTCTCTCTCTCTCTCTCTCTCAGTGTAAAGAAAAAAGTGCGATTCTTGCTCTCACGCAGACAGCACACCATCGCACTCAGACAGCACACTGACTGAAGGAGGTTGACGGAGGAGACAACGGATGAGGTTGACGGAGGAGAGGATGGGGTGGGGCATCGGGGGAGGCCGCATCGGAGGCACGCTCGATATCCAGTTGACGGGGAGGGCGCGGGGGTTGACGGGGAGCGCAGCTGCGGACAAGGGGGCCGCAGTCAAGGGCTCCGCGGATACTTCAAACTGCCAACCCGACTCCGCACCCTCGCCTGGAAACTTTTCAGGTCGACCACTGCAAACACGAGGCACACATTTCGGGCGTCACTGTTGTCGGCTGGTTTTCGGAACCCAAGCAAGGCTTGACCTTGTTTGGAGTTTTGTTCTGGAGTTACGACTCTTAGTACTTGCGAGAAAATGCATTGCATGTAGAATGTACATCAAGGCATCTTCTGACGCTACTCCTCACACCGGCGCCTCGCCCGCGAAGGCAGCAGAGCAATTCGCATATGCAGGTGCCGCATGGTTCATGTACGCCTCGTAGGGCCCCAGCTCGGCTCGGAAGCAAAGCAAGCGCCAGCAAAGGCCAAAGCCAGGCTCAGAGGCAGACCTGCCACTGCCAAAGGCCGAGGCCCTTAGCATCAGGGCCGTGCTGGACTGAACAACCCCTGACCGTGCTGAACTGAACGTAGTTATGGCGTTCAGACGCTTCCCAAAGGACTTGCGGCAGTTAGAACAAAGGACCTCTCCGCAGAGACCCGATGTGGTGCCCGGAGAAACTAAGCTAAGCCCATCAAGGTCATCAAGGTCATCAACATCCCAGCCGGAAGAAATTCCCCCATGCTCTCACTGCTCTCATCGCCAGCTTTGGATCAGTGCTCGTCGCACCGGGGCTCGAACCTTCGCATCTCCACATGGCCATCCCTGAGGTTGAAAGCTTTCCGCATGCCAGTGCCAGGAGAAAGTGCGCCGGGCGCGGTGCATGAGCATTGACAGCAATAATCCTGAGCACCTGCACGCAACAGGAATAACTCAGAGCAATGGCAACGCTTAACTTGACAAGGTGCTTGGCAACAAAAACGGCAATGCTGAGGCCAACATCCTACGGTGTCCTACAGTTGAGTCGCGCTGACTTTCGCCTGGCCATTACGGCTGCGCAACAGTTGAAACAGTTGGAGATTCGGTCGTTGCGATCGTCGCACGCCCTGATGACATGTACGTTTTACATCTGCCTTCTTTTCTGGACAACAATTCGGGCATATTTCGGCCTGAAAGCATCACGAGTTTGAAGGCCCATTGGGTCGAAGACTCGTGCCGCATCGCTCGTTGAGCCGTTCTCTCATTCTTGTCATATTGTCCTTCCCTTTTCTGCAAGTTGCTGTCATTTCAGGTTGGTTGTACAGTGGGGCTCAAGGTGACCCACCCACCCACCCGCTCTCTGCCTTGGCCTTGTCGGAGGTCCGGCGCTCGCGCTCCGGGCGCTTCCTCTTCCTTGCAGTCTCCAGCTCACGCCGCTACCGATTCGAAACCAGACATGATCCGTGCACAGACTTCACACTCTAGAACCCCGGCCCTCTGGGCAGAGGACTTTGTCTTTAGTAGGGGAGACACGGGATTCGACGCCTTTAAGAACTTGACCTCTGCGTGCCTCCGCGCCGTGCCGGGCAGCTCCTCGCCGCCCTCACTGCCCTCACCGCTGTCACTCTGGAGGCCCTGGTCGCCTCTCAAGGCATGCCCGCGGCTGGGGAAGCTGCAGAGGGTGGTTGAGGGCGGCTTCGCGGCACGCGCTTCTGAGGCCAGCAGCCTCCATCGGACAAGCTCCAGAAGTCAGCAACGAATTCAGGATCCCCTGAGACGGGAGCTGAGCCATGGAAAGCTTTCGGGAAGTGAATGAGACCTTTTCAGTCCATAAAACTTCATGTCAGAGTCGGCCTCTGCCGAGCCTCTCCAGAATCTGCTCCGCGAGGGCAGCGGAGAGCTGCCTTTCGGGCACTCCTCCGAAGGAAAGGAAGCCTCAAAAATCTCAAAACATTGCACATCAAGGTGAAACAACACTCAGAACACTCCTTGCACTGCCGCCAGGGGCCGACACCTGAGAGAAGTCGGAAGGCCACTTGGCCCTTGCCTGTTCCCCTCGCGCCTTCCCCGGCGCGCGAGCGCTTCGTTCGCTGGGCCCCTGACGCAAGCAGCAGTTCTCCAGACCGAATGGGCCTCAGCTGCCAAGCCCACTGCAGACGTCCACCATCATGCATCACTGATGACCCATGACTCCCATGATCCATGTGGCATGCTCTCCGTGTCGGGCACCTGCTCGAAAAGACGCCCTGTCCACGCCCCTTGTCGGTGCAAACTTTGCCTCAAGTGTCGGTCACTGATGGCGGGCAGGTAGAAATCCACACATCAAGAGCATGGAGAGTGTTGGGATCCCCTCGGAGAGACTCACTTTGAGCATCGTGCTGATCTGCGCAGAGTCCCAATGAGCAGTCACTCTAGTTTGAGTGTTCCATGTGCCGAAGAGAACAAGAGAGAACGAGTCTGGAGAGTCCATCGCAAGCTCCAGGCGGCAGAGCCCTGGATGCAGGAACGGAGCGACCTCTCAAGAGACATCCAGAGAAGATACTGTGGAGGCGTCAGCTTTCACAGCTAAGGCCCCTTGGGGTTCTGGCCGCCGCTATGCCCTGAGGCTCAAAGATGACTCAAGACTGCAAAAGACTGCAAGAATATGCGAAGTCAGAGGGGCCTCCCATGCTGCCATGAGCACGCTGCATGATGCCCCCGCAATTTCGAAGGTTCTCAATATTTGACGCCGATGTTACGGGGATGCGGCATGACTCCCATCAAGGACGGAATCTGGAATCGCAGGGATTGTTGGGCAACAGGCCATGTCCAAAGCTTGAGCAAAGCGCCAAGCTCGGATCACTCGCAGATTCTACTTCTACTTCTACTTATGCACGTACTTATACCTACACTTATACTTGACTTGTATATATACAAATCTGTAGCTTGCACGTGTGGTGCCAGGAGTACATGCTGCAAGTCGGAGGATACGAGTTCGGACCCTCCGCAGCTCGCCTTGAACGATGGCGGAGGCTCGCCCGTGTTCCCCAAGCGGTACCACTCCAGCCGGCGCTGTTTGTCCATTCGCCTTTTGAAGAAAGGGGGGCAAGGTGCTCAGTGCTCGGAAGAAGTCTCTTACACGGGTGACTCTCTATATCTTGCGATTCGGCCTGAGAGCATCATCGTAGAGGCGGTCGAAGCACGTGTAATCCGGATCGGACATCGTGGCGCCCAACTCAGGTTTCGAAAGAACACACTCGACCCCCTCTTCTTTCGCCTCTTCCCCTTTTGAATTTGCCCACCTGCCTTAGTGGAGGATGGAAACTTCTCTCTCCCTTCTCTGGGGCACGGGCCCCTGCTTCCTCGAAGAGCTTCTTGATGACGTCGCCCAGGCCCTTCTTCTCCGCCAGCTCCATGACGATCCGCAGCTGCTCTCGGACCTCACATTGTCATTCCGACACCCGCTCACACCGGACACGCGTGAAGCCCCCCCTCCCTTTTCGCGCTTCAAATTCTTCTCCCTCTTCCTCTTCCTCTTCCTCTTCCCCTTCCCCTTCCCCTTCCCCTTCCCCTTCCCTCTCCCTCCCTCTCCCTCTCACTCCCGCTCCTTCTCTCCCCCTGCACGCCTGCTTCAGCATCTTCAGCAGCCGCACCTGCTCCTCGTTGAGTTTGTCGTTCTCCTGTTTGCGTGGTGATGTGGCAAGCCGAACTGTCAGTGAAGCAGGACAGCAGACCAGAAGCCTCTTGCAAAGCAGCGATCTGCGCGTCGCGCTTCTTCAACTTCGCCTGCAGGTGTGAAGCCAGTGTGAAGCGCAAAGCGCATTAGCAATACAGCTGCCCTGACGATAGCCAAGAGTTAGCTCTCTAGGAGTACCAGCCTGTTTAACCTATGCGCGCATCGCTCTCGCCCCTCTCTTTCCTCTTCTGCTGGGCATGAAGGTGGAGTGACACAGATGAACAGTCGGGAAAAGTTTCGCTTGTTTGCCAAACGGGAGAGTGTTTCCCCCCGGGACAAGAACACAACAACACGAAAACGCCAAGTGCGTGAGCTCCCCCTCGTAATTCTGGCCGGCCCTGGGCAAGCTCCCCACAGTTTGCTGGGATCCGCAACTCACTGAATTACAACGAATACGCGTGGGGGGTTTCCCTTTCAGCTGATTTTCCTTTCTCCTCCAGCAGCCGCACGAAACCCAGATCCGAACAACACCCCGACGATGGTCCCACCTGGAGACTGCTAGGCCGGGTTTCACAGACTTTTCAAACTTGTCAGCAACTTCAGATTGATCTCTCTCACTGTCTCCCTTTTCTCTGCCCCGGCCTTCAGCTTCTCGAGCTCCGCGGCTTTCGCGCGCAAGTCTTCCAGTTCCGCAAGCTGACACGGCGAATCACGTGCTTTGATTCGAGAGCAGAGGACCCCGAATGTGAAAACATTCAAGTGCTCCCGTGTTGCTGTTCACGCCTGCTCGTCGGTCATGCCCCCCGGCACGGTCACCTCTGACTCTCAGCATAATGACCACACCAGGTCTCAACATTCAGCAGCACTCAGCGCACAGGGACTCTCCAAATTCTCCAAAGCAGTCCTGCAGCTTACACCATAATGCACCGTAGCAGACTACAGCGCGAGCCTTTTGGACTTCCTGGACGACGTCGGGCTTCTTGCCCTTAGCCCACATGAGAAAAGAGAGACAAGAGACGGAGAGCGTAGCATGTTGCATGGTCAGAACCGCAAGAATCATGATGTGAAACTGAAAATCAAGTTTGTGACTTTGAACAGCGAGTTAGAAACAACCGCGGGGAGGGAGGGGGAGAGAGAGAGTTGTAAAGCTGCCCTCTTCAGCATTCTGCGCCAGACGAAGCATCTTATCGTACTATAGCCAGTGAGCTTCTTGGTAAAGGGTGCGGCCAAGCTGGCGCCGACAAACTCAAGACTCGAGGCGCGGGCGGACGCCAGGTCCAGGGCGCGCTTCAGCTCCGCATTCAGCTCGGCGGACTGTTGAGGCAAAAAGGTTGGAAGAAGGAGAAAGCTTGGAAAAAAAACAAGAAGCTAAAAAAGCAAATTCGCTTAAATGCAAAAAGTGTGACTCTCGGGGCCTCTGCTGTGCTTTTGACCCCTCTCTTTTAGCCCCCCCAATAGCCCCCCTTCTCCCGGCGTCCTTCTTCCGCTCGGCCTCCAGCTCCTTCTGAAGCTGCTCGATCTGCTCCTCCGCGAACTTCGATTATTCGGGAGGGGGGGAGGAACACCTCTACTTCAATTTTAACTCAATTTTGCCCCAAAAACCGGACAGCTCACCTGTCTCAAAATGTGAGAGAAAAAAGTGCAGAGGCGTGCGTGCAAGCATGCATGAGCGTGGGCCGTCACGCAGGCACATGCATGCGCCAGCTGAGACCGGATATGCCATGCGATGTCACATGCCAATATGTGCGGTATCGGCACGAGTGATGACCAACAGTGGCCAGCTGGCGTGCTAGATGTCCACTCACTACAAAGAATGCGAGAAACTGGGAAACCTCCCCCTCATACCTTCCCTGGGACCCCCCTGCAACCCCTTTCTGACACCTCTGGGCACCTCGAAGAAAACTGTCTCGTCGCCACATACTGCACCCTGCTCCAGGCCACCGGCTGCCGAGGCGGCGCGCGCATGCGTTGACGAACATTCATCTGCAGGCGCCCTCTTTATGCTGCAAGCTGTGAGATGTGGATTCGAAGATGGATGTTTAGCAACTTTGCAGAACGCCGCTTGTGCCTTTCATCTGTTTGCTTTTGGTCGTCTAGATGAACATATGTTCTTGAAAGGGTTCCCCTTCCCCATCCCGCACTAAGATTTACATGTCTTATTCTTCAACTCGATCCACAATACGATGCGAAGAAAGATTACCTAGAGGCGGATCTGTCAACCTCCGCAAAAACAATTCTGGCCCATCCCCTCCCCCCACCCCCCCAGAGCCCGCCCCTGGAACTTGAGCCCTTGGGCCCCTCTCAGCTTCTTCTCAACTCCTTCTCGTTCTTTTGTTCTGTGGCCCCCAGCTGCACTAAGCGACAAACGCTCTGGCTTTCCTTCTTTTGGGATGCGCACGCTACAACTTGCGTTGGGCCGGCCTCGTTTACAATTGTTCTTCCTGCTTCCTTGTGCAGCCTGTAACTTAACCTGGCAAATAGTCAAAAAGTTGTGCCTGTATTCAGTCGCTCATGTGATATTCAGGCTCGCTGCGCACTGTCCTCTTTGCTTTGCATCTAGAAGCCGAAGTCGTTGGCAATATGCAGAGATTCATGTCATCGATGGCATGCCTATGTACAGTGATGAACCACCCAGCTTGTAAATCCCGCTACATATGGGCCCGAGGACTAAGGGGCCCCTTTTCCTTGTGTGATAGCCATAGGCTGCAGCACGGAGCACTGAGCTCCCTGGAAAACCGGTGCGCTGTGCACCCCGTGAGCCCAGAGTCATCACAATCACGCTACCCTCGCTTTACCCGCTGCATTGGTAGCGGAGCAGTTCAGGTTCGGGGACGACTTGGTTCCTGGCTGGGCTGCCCGACATTTTTTCCTCAGAACACTGCTGGCCCAACCGCTGACGACTACCAGACTTCCCGGCCTTCAGTGACCTGTTCAAGGAGCAGGGATTCTTTTCTTTCTTCGACTTCTACGACACCGAGCACCACGACGAGGTTTCCTCCACGACACCGAGCACCACGACGAGGTCTACAATGGCGGATTCTCGAGAAATGAAGTCCGGCATCCCTTCCTGGGATGGCAGTGCAAGGACCTGGAGGCGATACACGCGGGAGGTCGCCTGGTATGTTCAAGGAACTGCTGTTCACAAGCGCAGATATTGCGCAAGCCAGTTGCTTGGGAGATTGACGGGGCCGGCACGGTTGTTGGCTATGTCATGGTCAAGAATGCTGGTGGATCGCCACGATGGGACGAAGATCCTCCTGAGGAAGCTGGCGGCAAGCCCCCTCGTGCGAAAGAGCTTGCCAAATGCTGCGGCGATTTGTCAGCAGTACTTCGCCTTCAGAAGAAGCCACCAGGAAAGCATCGGCAACTTCCTGGTGAGGGAGACGTTGGTCCACGAGGAGTTCTGCGAGGCCACCATCAGGCTCTACGAGGAGAAGCAGGGGGTATCACAAGAAGATCGTGATTTCGGACTTCCTGCTGATGAGTGGGGAGGATGCTGGTGGTCTGAAGACTGGCTACCTGCTGAGCCCATGGGAGTTGCGGCCGCTGCAACGGCTGATGGCATCGATGATGGGAAACTACGTGAGGCCCAACAAGCTGAGCAAATGGCAGAGTCCCTTGCATTGGAGGCTCAGCGGACCTGGACGGAAGCGCAGAAGGCAACGGCTGCGCTGAAGAAGGACCGTGGATTCGGTGCCACCTTGGCAGCCACACAGGGGCCTATGAGGTGCTTCAATTGTGGAGGCCCTCACATGGCAAAGGATTGCCCCGATCGACGACATCCGTACTTTGGCAAGAGCAAGGGCAAGGGCAAGTCCAAGCAGGGCTACATGACGGATATGGATGCGTACTACGTGAAGGGCAAGACCAAACAAGCGAAGGGAAAGAACAAAAAGGGCTTCTACATGGACGCGGATGCCATCTGGAAGGGCAAGGGCAAGGGTCATGACTGGATGCCTCGAACGGTGAATGCCTACAGCAGCGACATGTACATCGGCGGCTTGGAGCTCACCCCGACGATGGAGGCAGCCGCCGCGACCTCGACAGCTACCAGACCTGAGCTGGGCATGGTCGATTGCGGCGCTACAGCGTCAGCCGCACCCGAGGCAGTGGTCAAAGGGCTCATTGCTTCAATCCTAGAGAAGGACCACGGAGCTCGTGTGGACATCGATCAGAGTGCTCGGCCATACTTTCGTTTTGGTGATGGTCGTTGGGGTCGGGCGCTTTATCGAGTTCAGCTGACTAGCTCGGTTTCGGGATCCACTAGGAGTTTCGCCCTCTACGCCCTCCCGAATCCCAAGGAGTACTTCCAAGCAGGGTTTGACAAGGCTTCCTTAGTGCCCATATTGATTGGTATGGACTTTTTGGGGAAAATCGGCAACGGGATGATCATAGACTTCACCACGGGTCTGTCAACGAGCACGAAGGATGATAACCCCAAGGTCTTTCAGCTTTCACAGAATCACAAGGGGCACTTCATGCTGGACATTAGTGAGTACCTAACCCTTGGTCATCAGAATCATGAAGGACACGCTCACGTTGTCGTTTCAGCAGACGCACATCATGTTGTCAAACCCGAAGCGCATGTGCTGGAGTTCCATGTAGTTCAGTTTGATCTGACCGCTGCTGACGCAGAACATGAGCTGCATCAATCACGACTCCAGTTGCTTGAGATGTACCAGCGTTCCCGACAGTTGCAAGGTCTGCCCCTCTCAGCCCATTTCAGATCGATGCTCGCGACTGCACAGTCGCTTGAAGCCCCGACAACATCCTCTACTCGCTTTTCGAACCATGTCGACGACCAATGTGAACGTCGACACCGAGGCGGCCGAGATCCTGGCGGCAGCGGCGAAGGCCAAGGCCAAAGCAGGGAAGCAACGACCACGATCGCTGGATCCGACACGCTGCATGAAGATGGACAAGAGGGATCCCAGGGCACATCCCAAGTGCTGGCCGTGCTACGGCAACCACCAGCCCAACACGGCCCAGTCGAATGCCCACGGCCAGTGGGTGCAGTGCCAAGTCTGCGATCTGCGTCTGCTGTACACGCCACGGAAGGGATCACCGTCAAATTCGACGCAAGTGCACAATGCTGCGATGGTCAAGAAGATGCTGGAGCAGCTCAAGGCGGTGCTGAATGGAGCACGGCCAACGGCCAAGGTGTGCCACCACATGATGGCGAAGATCTACGCGGAGGAGGTCCTGGAGAAGTCGATCAAGGAACTGCTCGCATCATCGACAACGACACCGCAACGAACGAGCTTTCCGTCGACGACGTCTGGGAACGACACGACCCCATCACCAAACCACATCGCTGCGGACGACCAGGACGAGGAACTGATCGTGGACTACGAGGCCGAGGGGTACCTGGTGCCGTGAGGGACATGAACAAGTGCAAGCCGCTCACAACCAAGCTGGCACATCGAGTGATGGCAATGGCAACACTCATGGCTACGGCGGCATCGACGTCGCTTGTCAACCTGCAGTTGGATGGACGAGACGGAGTGTGGGAGATTGCGTGCTCTCTACACAGCTGGTTGTCAGAGTCGGCAGACAACCATGGGTTAGCACCCAGACGCATCAACTACCAGGCTGGATACGATCTGTACAAGGAGACAACGTGGGATCAACTGCGAGATCTCCGACAACAAAAGAAGCCCCGAAGGCTGTGGTTCTCACTTCCATGTACGAAGTGGTGTCCCTGGACGGCAATCAACTATCGGGAGCCCGAGGGGAAGGAGGTTCTGGAAGCGCAGCGACGGAAGGAGAGGAAGATGCTGCGACACGCGGTCAAGTTCATCATGGAGACACTCCTGGATGATCCCGACGTTGACATCTACTGGGAGTGGCCTACGCGGTGCTTGGGCTGGTCACAACAGGTGATGCTGGACCTGAGCAAGTGGTTGGATCAGAATGACTTTCCATGGTTGGCTTGTCGGGTGGATGGCTGTGCCTATGGACTCCGAAGCAGCCATGGAGAAGCCTTTGTCCACAAACGGTGGACGATCATGACCACTAGTGAACGCTTCCACCACGAGTACAGGTCCAAACTGTGCCCAG